AATGACCTTTAAAGTACTGATTCTAAGCAATACATATGTCATTCCGTTTAAGAAGGCTAGAGTGACAACAGGTTTGAGATGAAGCTTCAGGTGTCTTATCTGAGTACTAACAGAGGCAATGATTACCTTGTGGCCCATGACGAAGGAAAAGATGTGTTCTCTAGCATGAGGCAGAGAAAACCTTTCTGGCTATGTATTACTTTCCTGTGGCTGCCAAAAAAAAAAAAATTGCCACAAACTTGGTGGCTTAAAAAAATAAATAAAACCCTTAAAATTGGGCGGGATGAAGGGGCACCTGGGTGGCTCAGTGGGTTAAGCCTCTGCCTTTGGCTCAAGTCATGATTCCAGGGTCCTGGGATCGAGTCCTACATGGGGCTCTGTGCTCAGCATGGAGCCTGCTTCCTCCTCTCTCTCTGCCTGCCTCTCTGCCTACTTGTAATCTCTGTCTGTCAAATAAATAAAATATTTAAAAAAGGGGGGGCACTTGGGTGGCTCAGTGGGTTGGTGCTCTGCCTTCGGCTCAGGTCATGATCCCAGGGTCCTGGGATCACCCCATATCGGGCTTTCTGCTCAGCGGCGAGCCTACTTCCAGCCCGCTGCCTGCCTCTCTGCTTACCTGTGGTCTCTCTCTCTGTCAAATAAATAAATAAAATATTTTTAAAAAATAAATAAAACAAACCAATAGAAATGTATTCTCTTACAACTATGAAGGCCAGAAGTCAGAAATCAAGGTGTTGGCAGGGCTGTGCCCCCTCCGCCATGTGAGACGAGAATCACTTCTAGCCTGTTCGGGCTTCTCTGGGCCACTGTCATTTCTTAGCTTGAGGCTGCATCATGGCAATGCCTGCCTCCATCTTCACATGGCCTTCTGCTCTGAGGGTGAGTCTACGCTGCCTCTACTTCCCTTGTATACAGACACTTGTGACGGCATTTTGGGCCCACGTGGATAAGCCTGGATGATCCCCCCGTCTTGAGATATTTAGTCACATCTACAAAGACCTTTCTTCCAAATGAGGTAACATCTGCAGGTTCTAGAAATTAAGATGTGGACATTTCTTTGGCAGCCATCATTTGCTTACCATTGGGTACTCTGGATAAAATTTAAAAATTCCAAAAGTAATGGATTTATGTTAGAACGGTTTTTTCTTTTTCTTTTTTTTTTTAATGTGGTAAATTCATATACTGTAAAATTTACCATCTTAGCCATTTTAGGTACACAGTTTAGTGGTATCCAGTACATCCACACTGTTGTGCAACCGTCACCCCTTTTCAGCCCATAACTCTTTTCACCTCGTAAAACAGAAACTCTGTACTCATTAAATAATAACTCCCCATTCTTCTCACCCCCCTAAGGGGAGTGACTTCTCACCCCCTATTCTACTTTCTAATTTTATGATTTTGACTACTCTAAGTACTCCATATAAGTGGAATCATAGGGTCTTTGTCTTTTTGTGATTAGACAGGGCAGTTTTAAGTGAAAAAAAATTGCCCCCTTAAGTAATTTAGAAGAGAAGACTTTGGGTGCCTGGTTGGCTCAGATGGTTAGATGTCTGCCTTTGGCTCAGGGCATGATCCCAGGGTCCTGGAATCAAGTCCCATATCGGGCTCCCTGCTCAACGGGAAGCCTGCCTCCCCCTCCCCCTCTACTACTCCGCCTGCTTGTGCTCTTTCTCTTTCTCTCTCTCTCAAATCAATAAAATCTTAAAAAAAAAAAAAAGAAGAGAAGACTTTGTGGAAAAAGAGACCTTTGAATAGAAGAAGTAATCACTGGCTAAAGCAGATGCAAGACCTTTTGTGAAACAGAATGTGGTTCAATGTGGCCAAAACAGATCATTTTACAGAAGTGAACCTGCCCTGGAGAAGCCCAGTCATGTCTACACTGTCTAGCATTGATCTAGGATTGACCCTAACTAGAGTAGGACACTAGCTTTAAAAGATCCAGAATAGGTTCTCTGGGGGAAATAATCAGATTAAAAGCAACAAAACTAAATTGTTCCCTACACCTGTTACATTTGTAAATACTAATTGTGAATATTGGAACTATGGGGATGTGTTTGATATATTTAATGGATAAATATTAATGGATTATATTTAATTTGTTATATTTAATGGATGTCAGTTTCTTTTATTTCTTTTGGTATTTTACAGCCTGTCTTCTTATAAAACATAGGTGGGTAGAAGAATTGTTGTCAGTCAAATTGATTAGGTATTGAAAAAAAACAATGAAGTTTCTGGTCACACCAGTCAGAATGGCTAAAATTAATAAGTCAGGAACCAATAGGTGTTGGTGATGGTGAGGATGAGGAGAAAGGGGAACCCTCTTACCTGGTTGGTGGGAATGCAAGCTTGGCAGCCATTCTGGAAGACAGCATGGAGGTTCCTCAAAAAGTTAAGAAAAGAGCTACCCTACAACCCAGCGATTTCTCTATTAGGTATTTATCCAAAGGATGCAAACACAGTGATTTGAAAGGGCACCTCCACCCCAATGTTTATAGCAACAATGTCCACAATAGCCAAACTATGGACGGAGCCCAGATGGCCTAGACAGATGAATGGATAAAGAAAATGTGGTATATGTATGTACAATAGAATATGACTTAGCTATTAAAAAGAATGAAATCTTACCATTTACAACAACATGGATGGAGCTAGAGGGTATTATGCTAAGTGAAATCAGTCAACCAGAGAAAGACAAATATCATATGATCTCTTTTATATGTGGAATTTAAGAAACAAAACAGATGAACATAGGAGAAGGGAGGGAAAAATAAAATAAGAGAAAATCAGAGGGGGAGATAAACCATAAGAGACTCTAAACTAGCATCTGCCTTTGGCTCAGGTCATGATCCCAGGGCCCTGTATGGGGCTCCCTGCTCAGCGGGAGGCCTGCTTCTACCTCTTCCACTCCTCCTGCTTCTGTTCTTTCACTTGCTGTGTCTCTCGCTGTCAAAAAAGTAAATAAAATCTTAAAAAAAAAAAAAAAGAGACTCTTAACTATAGGAAACAAATTGAGGGTTGCTGGAGGTGAGGAGGTGGGGGATGGGGTAACTGGATGATGGATATTAAGGAGAGCATATGATATAATGAGCACTGGGTGTGATAAACAACTTATGAATCGCTAAACTGTACCTCTGAAGCTAATAATATACTATAAGCTAATTAACTGATTTTAAATTAAAAAACAACAACAACAAAGAAACAAAAAAACAATGAAGTTTCTAGGTAGGAGTTCAAGTCAACAGAGTTGTGGGACTCCTAAAAGGCAATTGTGTGTTTCATCCTGCTAACTCCTCTGTCTGGCACAAGGTATCTGATTTTATACTTATTGTCCCATAAAGCTAATGCTAATCTTGTAGTAAAAATGATGTGTGTTGAACTTGAGATTTCTCACTGTAATTACAAGTTTTGGTTACAAGTTCTGGTCCTTGTACAGCTAACAGCAGTTTCCCAGCCCTTAACTGCTCTAGCCTGGCATCTAGCTGCAGGTATCTGAAGACCTCTAGTTTGTAGGATTAGTTTCTAATCTAGTAGTAATCATGCTTGAAAGTATTTTTGTGCCTCATCGCCACCACAGTGGGGCCTCCCATCTTGCTGCTTTAAGATCCTCTCTGGACCTGAGAGTGACTTTCATTGCCCATAGACTACTTCTTGCCCTGTACTAGTCCACAGAACTGGACCCCTGCAGTAGGGCTGGCTTAATGAGTGTGGGACCTGTGCACTTGCACAAGGTCTTTTGCTTAGAATGGTCTCACACTTAGACTAATGCTCTTCCCTGTCATTTTAATTTTTAGTAATTTTACCTTTGAACTGTTCTGTAAGCAAAATCCAGAGGGGCTCCAATGGGACAAAAGAGAGGGCATGTGAGCAGAGATAGGCACAGTATGTGTTTGCCATCCCTTGCCCTCACGTTCTCATGAACATTCCTGATGCCCTGTCATTACCCTAGAATTCCAGGGGACCACATATGAGGGAGCGTGACCCACTGGTGGGGGCAGGGGAGGATGATGGCAGCCCTGAGACACCACACTTTCCCTTCAAACTAGAATTTGCTCCAGATGCTGAAAGAAGGTGATAACATTCAGAGACATGAATAACCAAGGAACCTTTCTTACTCATGTTACTTTCCTGTATTAGCTAAACACTTAGGCTGAAAAGGATGACACAGAAAGAAAAGAAAAGATAGGGCAATCCAGAGTTCCCTATCTTGCAGTCTTTCCTTAACCATTAGGAAGCTAAAGTTAGAGAGTGTGCTAGAACTTATGTGCATATTAAGAAGTGAAGTTAAAAGCTCAGCTAGTTTTGTGCATGAAGCTGAATGTACAATGAAATGCATGTAAGGGGAGTCTGGGTGTTGGGGTCTGCTTAAGAGCTAAGCATGGAGCCTGCTTAAGATTCTCTCTCCTCCCTCTGCCCCTCCCTCCACTGCTCCTGTACTCCCTCTCACTCCCCCCCCAAAAAAGAATGAAAGGCAATGTATGTCTAAGCTGCAAAATACAAATTGTGTAATTATGGTGATTCCACATATGTGTTAAATGCTTTTATATTTGCATTTCAAAATAGCATTGTATAGCATAAAGACAAACAGTAAAATTCATGCCAGTGGATAAAATTTAAAATTTTTGTCTACTTAGAATAAGATTAATTAGCAGATAAAAAGCACCATGACAAACTGAGAGAGAGGCCATGGAAGAAAAGAAAATGCTTTATATTTTAGTATGTTTAAAAGCACTTTTTCCTGCTTTTTGAACCATGTGACTCACAGATTACATGGCTGGCCCTGGTCCTGAGTGCCAGTACCAGGGTGGAAACCTGGCTTTCCTACCACACTACAAACCAACTGATTTGAACTAAATGGCTGCTCTCTGGGAGCTCCTGTCACCATTCTTCACCTGCTGCCATTTTGTTAACATAGAAAAGACAAATACACACATGTGTGCACACACAGACACACCCAATAGACGGGAGTGGAAGGAGGGACACGGCCCTCAACAGAGTCTAACCTGATTCAGGTTCTGTTTCAGGGACCTCAGGTGCTTCAGACTCCTCAGGTAAGGATCCCTTGGTGTCCTCGGCTACCTCCAAGGCCTCAGAACCTTCCTGAACGTCAGGCTCCTCAATTTCAATCACCTCGTCAGCCTCCAGTTCAGCCTCTTCTACTTCTAGAAAAAAATGAGGAGAAATAAATTTTTATTTGGTTTAGGTCAACAAATATTTCATTGGGTGCTAGATATTCTGATCAGTGCTGAGACCAAAACAAAGAATAAGGAATGGCCCTGCCCTCCTGGAGCATGGGGTTTGATGGGACAGACAGATACTTTGTCTGCGTATTTCGTCTATCCAAATGTAGCCACAGTGTGCAGTACGTGTGCTCAGAGCCCTATGGGATTAGCAGCCTAAAGGTTTTAACGGAAACTGGAAACAGCCCCAAAGTCCATTCAATAAGAATATGGATAGAACAACACTGTCTGATATGGAGCCATTGAAATGAAGCTAATCCAAATTGAGATGTGCTGAAAGTATGAAAACACAATGGATTTAGAAAAACCAAACGTGAAATATATTCAGTATTTTTTGTACTGATTGTTAAAATAATATTTTGGATATAGTATATTAAATAAATACAATTAATTTCACCTGTTTCTTTTCACTTTTTAGGCAGCTACTAGAATGTATGTGGCTTGCATTGTATTTCCATTTGGCAGCATGGGGCTAAATTTAATGCACAATGATGGATTTTCTTATACCTAATTACAAATAATGGAACACATTGATCAGTATGTCAAGTGTAAATTTTAAAAGCACAATACCAAGCTTTATATAGTTGCATGGAAGTCTTTCGGGAAGAACATGGGGTGAATGATGTCAAAAAAACTATCTCTGCTATTCCTTTTAATATATTCATGAAATTGAAAAACAAGATATTTCTATGCAAATTATATGAAAAAAAAAATGAGCTTGTTTTCTGGACTCCTGTGGAAATTACTCCCTCCAGTGAGTACCTTCCAAGACTATCGGTATGATAGTCTTTGGCATCCGAATTTTTTTTTTTTTTAAAGATTTTATTTATTTATTTGACAGACAGATCACAAGTAGGCAGAGAGGCAGGCAGAGAGAGAGGAGGAAGCAGGCTCCCCGCTGAGCAGAGAGCCCGATGCGGGGCTCGATCCCAGGACCCTGAGATCGTGACCTGAGCCGAAGGCAGAGGCTTTAACCCACTGAGCCACCCAGGTGCCCCTGGCATCCGAATTTTGATCTGAATCTGCATGATTAAAACACCCAGAGCAAAGCAATTTAGTGTTCTTGGCATGCCTGGGTGGGGCAGTCTGTTAAGCCTCTCAGGTCATGAGCCCACGTCCTGATCTCCCACTCCCCCTGCTTGTGTTCCCTCTCTTGCTGTGTCTTTCTCTGTCAAATAAATAAATAAAAATCTTATAAAAAAAAAATTATTATTATTTATTTATTTAAGAGAAAGAGAAAGAGACACACACACACCACGGGGGTAGGGGGTGGGGGGTAGGGGTGGAGGAGTAGAGGGAGAGGGGGAAGCAGCCTCCCCACTGAGCAGGGAGTCCAGATGCAGGGCTTGATCCCAGGACTCTGGGATCATGACCAGAGCGGAAGGCAGCCACTTAACAACTGAGCCCCCCAGGACACCCCTATAATAATGAAAGAGTCTTAAAAAAGAAAAAAAAAAAGAAGAAGAAAGGCAAAACATACCTAAAAAAAAGAAAAATGTTCTGGGTCTACACCAGGACTACAGTACATGTAGCTTCTAAGTATGTGACTTACACTGGGGTGACTCTTGTGTCATATAGAGGAATGATGGTGATACACACAAGGAAGTAGCAGCATTTGCTGAATCCTACTAGGGTTTGGAATGAAGTTATGTGCTGTACAGCAAAAACTCACAATGTATCTCTCATAGTAAAAAAAAAAAAATACTTCCAATATGCATACATATAAATTATTTTTAATTCTTATCCATATTAGGTACTTTATGTAACATACAAATAAACAGAGTTTCTATAATGATGCAGAGAGGTGTAAAAAGTTCTAATATTCTTCTAAAATTCTAATGGATAATCTGTATACCAGAAAAATCACAGATGGCCTGAAAGGTGTTCTAAGACCCTTACACTACCTGTGATTTTTACAAAGTATCTATTGCTTCATAATAAATTACTCCAAAATTTAGTGATTAAAGCAACAGTAACCACATATCATCCTTGCAGTTTCTGGGGTCAGGAATTTGGGAGTAGCTTAATTGGTGCTTCTGGCTCTGGGTCTCTCATGTAGTCAAATGAAGATGTCAGTCAGGGTTGTAGTCCCTGAAGGCTCGCTTGGGGCTGGAGGACTGGCTTCCCAGCTGGCCATTCAAAGCCTGAACTGAACTCCTCAGGGAGCAGAGATAAGCCCTGTATTAAGTCCCGACCCACAGAAACGTGTACAGAATAAAAACCGTAGTTGTTTTACAGTTTTGGGGTGGCTTGTTGTCAACAAAGGAAAACTGAAATACTTTTCACTCTTTTGAGTCATGGACCCTTTTGGCAGTATGGTGAAAGTTATGGACACTCCTTAGAATAATGCTTTCAATCCCATAAAATAAAATACAAAAGAAACCAATTATATTGAAATGCAGTTATGAAGATCTCAAAATAAATTTTGTGCTGTAGGAAATTTGTGCATCTTTACTAATGCATTACATAACAAGAACTAGCAGCTGGTCTAATTACCATCATTTTGGGAATCGTGATTAAGCATACACAGGATATATAAAACTGTAACGTGATATGAAAATATCTTAGTTTCTATTGGTAAGAAAATCAAGATACTACTAATATTATTATGGTTCGTTGCCTATATTAATTATTAAGTGAAGGAAATACTAAATTCCAGGTTAAGGTTAGTGAAAATAAAGTTGTAATTATTTTCCCATTCAAGTTCACAGATCTCTGTATTTTATCCGTGAACTCCAGGTTAAGAACTTCGGTCTTAAAAGAAACTGTTGGAGTAAGTTCTTTTATAACAGAGATGAAAGTTTAAGTTCAAAGACAACAGGTATAGCAGGAGATGCTGTTTTCTCAATTCCTGCAGGATCCTTATACTAGAAGTAATTCCAACATTCGTGTGTCCTATGTGACCAGGGAAGCCATTTTAAGACACGTGGCATAAGCTGTCTATTGTGGATCCCAAGAGGGAGCACACGTAGGTGTCTGTCGGAGCTCTTTTCCTAGGACTCCATTACTCTAGTGACCACACAATTTATTTTCCAAATTGGAACACTGAGCATGAAAGTGGGTCAAATAAATATTTCAGTACCATAGGCATAGCATAGACCTAGACTCTCATGGGCAAACTGGGAAATACGGTCACGCTCTCTGTAATTCGCTTGAAATACTGCAGTTGCCTGCAGTAAGGTACAAAATTAAATGACGCATTAGTAATGATGTAAATCTGTGTTTGCCTTTTGATTTCTCACTCATATCTTCCAAAAGCCTTTGGTCTTCTTCTATTCTCAATGCTTCTTCAGTGGCTTTTCTGAAATGAAAATGTCCAAAATTTAATCATCTTTGGAAATTCAGATATTTTACAATATTCTAGGGTTTAAGGCTTATAGTGGTTAAAAATTGAGTAAATTTTGCATAATGTTCATTATACTCTTTAACTTTACAATGTAAATGTTTAATTTGCTCATATTAAAGCCACTTAATTTCAGGGTTTTCTGTTTTTCCCTTTTTGGTTAAGAAACGTTGCAATGTTATACTTTAAAAAGTTTTGGCTATTAATTAAGAAATCTGTTAGGGGCGCCTGGGTGGCTCAGTGGGTTAAGCCGCTGCCTTCGGGTCCTGGGATCGAGCCCCGCATCGGGCTCTCTGCTCAGCAGGAAGCCTGCTTCCCTTCCTCTCTCTCTGCCTGCCTCTCTGCCTACTTGAAAAAAAAAAAAAAAAAAGAAATCTGTTAAAATTCATTAAAGATTGTCTAAGCTAAAAAGGTAAATGGGAGAAGTTGTACCATTTTCTTCTGAATAAATCAGAAATGTTCACAAAAAAAAGTTAAGTGACAAAAAAGTGTAATACAAGGCTATGTATAATACAATTTTAATTTTGTATTTGAAGTTTATATAAATAATGATCAAAAGCCCAGAAGCATAAACTGTTAATAGTAATTATCTTTGGATGCTGGCATTATGAGAGTTTTTACTTTTACTTATTATTTTTTACATTAAAATTTTTTCTATATTGAATAAATAGATAATTATCTTTGTAATCAGAAAAATTATTTCCTGATTTTTCTTTTCAACACAGTAATAATGAAATTTGAAAAGACATGAGATATGAAAACTTAATTGTCTAGAGGGAATCTGTTTTTCATTAGGGTTGCAGCACTAAGCCTGACTTAATGGTGAAGACAGACAGGTATAAGGAAAGCTAGTAAAGTGATGGAGAAAAGTAATATTTATTAAAAATTAAAATGTGTATACCTTTGACCTAGAAATTCTATACTAGGAATTTAGCTCTCAGGAATCGGCATACTATTGCACAAAGAAACATGTATAAGAATGTTGATTGCCTCTTTTAAAAATAATATAAAAAAACTGTATCAAGTATTCACCAACAGGGGATGAGTTACGTAGAGCCCATTCATATCAGCTGCCCACTCTGGGGCAGTTTTCCTGACTATTTTATAGTCTGTCATTCTCCATATTCAGTGTTCTTGGCATCCTTTCCCCCATCCTGTGAAAATCTAGTTATTTCTATTCTCTTCAAAAGACATTACTACACTTCTTATAGGAGATATGTCAGGAAAACAATAATAAGCCATTCTTTCTTTTCTTTTAAGATTTTATTTTAGAGAGACAGAGTGTGAGCAGGGGCAGGGTCAGAGGGAAAGCCTGTAAGAGAATTTCAGAGACTTCCTGCTGAGTGCAGAGCCAAGGTGGACTTGATGACTGGGGTATGGGGTTGGGTGGGATGGAGTGGGGCTCTCACAGCCCTGAGATCATGACCTAAGCCAAAATGGAAGCTTAACCCACTGAGCCACCCAGGCATCCCTTTCATTTCCTTATTATTGTATTATTTCTTCAATTTGTGGATACTGGTCAGCAAAATTATTAAAGTCACAGATAAATATGGTAAAAAAAAAAAATCTTAGGGCACCTGGGGGGCTCAGTGGGTTAAGCCACTGCCTTCGGCTCGGGTCATGATCTCAGGGTCCTGGGATCCAGCCCCGCATCGGGCTCTCTGCTCAGCAGGGAGCCTGCTTCCCTCTCTCTCTCTCTGCCTGCCTGTCTGCCTACTTGTGATCTCTGTCTGTCAAATAAATAAATAAAATCTTTAAAAAAAAAAAATCTTACCTGTGCTCATTTTTTTTTTTACAGTGTCTTTTGTGAGTAGACATTTGTTCTACAATAGTTTGATTTGGGGCCATGAAAATATCCACAACTCAGTACTTCAGACATTGAAATATTTGTAAACCCACTCTTTTTCTTAGGCTTAATTAGCATTGGATCTACTTAGTAGACCACTGTTTTGATATTCAAGACATTTCATAAATGTAACTTGTAAGTAGATATTTAATAGCTATAAAAGCTTCATTAACTTGTTTATGATGCCAGGCATGTTTTACCTTGCTGCTTCTTCCTCTTTTTTTTTTCTTTTGTAGATCATCTAATAATCTTTCTAAAATCTTAGAGTCAACTTCAGTCTTATTCTCTAAATACAGTCTATTAAGTAAATATTTCCCTGAAATACAGATAAAGAGAATAACATTAATTTTGAAGCTCTATAAAATATAGTGAGAAACTTTGGAAATTAATGACAGAATATTGTTCCTGCCTATATCCAAATATATTTCCCTTTAAGCATTTATTTATATAGAGTCCAGGTTCTTTAAAATATTGAGACTATCTGAAATCCTTTCTAAAATGTGAACATCAGCATGGTAAAAATAACTAAAACACAAAAAGAAGTGGTGTATCATACTTTCCCCCTGGAAACTCTCTTTTGAAATATATTTCCTTAAAAGGCAAGATGACAGAATATTCTTGGCTCCTATGTCAAAGATTATTTGACTATATAGGTCTGGGTGTATTTTCTAGGCTCTCTACTTTGTTCCATTGGCCTAGGTGTCTGTTTTTATGCCAGCATCATACTGTTTTAATTATTATAGCTTTTTTCAAAGTGACAGAATAATTAAAATTTAGTTTTGCTATCTTTATGTATTTAATATATCCCATTTGAGGTGTATAAGGACTAATATACAGTCTTTACTCTCAGCCTTATATAATTTTCATTTAGAAGTTAGAGTGCTGAGAATGGGATGTTAAAGTCCCACCTCCAAAGAAGAATCGTAAGGTCCTGATCCAGCATGCCATTCCTGGCCATCTACACGGTGAATGGTTGCCTCATTTTGTGTACCTCTAGATTGTGAAGGGATTGCTGGGGTGGTATTTGTACCGTGGGAGAGTGAAGAGTTTTCTATTTTGTATTTTAACTAAACATATTATCAGCAATAAAAACCTCACTTTCGGATTTACATGATAAATATTTACCAACCATTGTTTTCTGTATCTGATAAACAGATTACTAAATCAGGTATAATTCCTTTCTCGACTAAGACTATCCACAGTTCTTTTATAACGGGGCAGTTGTCCAGTATCCATCCTCCAAACTTCGGGGCACCAGAAAACCTATTCATGTTTTCTTCAGCTACCTGTGAAAAATGACATACTGATATTACCATCATAGCCAGAGAAGTCAAGGATACTACTTTGATATATTGTTTTTGCAGACCCTAACCAATTATCTTTTGAATTCTTTGGACTCAAAAGAAAAAAAAGAGTCACTTAATTTTTAAAAAGACACTTAATTTTAATTTTAATTTTTAAAAATTTTTTATAAACATATAATGTATTTTTATCCCCAGGGGTACAGGTCTGTGAATCGCCAGGTTTACATACTTCACAGCACTCACCATAGCACATACCCTCCCCAATGTTCATAACCCCACCCCCCTCTCTGGACCCCCCCTCCCCCCAGCAACCCTCAGTTTGTTTTGTGAGATTAAGAGTCACTTATGGTTTGTCTCCCTCCCGATCCCATCTTGTTTCATTTATTCTTTTCCTACCCCCCGAGCCCCCCATGTTGCATCTCCACTTCCTCATATCAGGGAGATCATATGATAGTTGTAAAAAAGACACTTAATTTTAAAGCAATAAAGCTAAGTTTTAAAAATGAAGAATGGTAAGCAAAAGCCTTTATTAAATAAATGAACAGTATATTTTTGTTATCTGTTATTCTGTATAGAATTCAGACCCTGATTTAGGAGGTCTTGGTCCCAGGAGTATGCATTTGGAACATGTTCCGAGATGGCAGTAGTCCGTGAACCACTCTTTGAGTAGCAAGGGCCCAGTCCAGTTTGCCTGTTTTAGTGACAACACTATTCACCTCCCTTTTGCTTTCCATCCCTCAGTGTGAGAGCTGAGAAGGTACTGACATGGTTACTAAAAACAATAGGAAGGAATCGGGTCAAAACAGACCTTGCTGGTGCTTAGGGAGTTCTGCTAAACTCTGCTCCCATCCCCCCCTTCAGGCAGTGCAGTAGCGAGGGCTTCAGTGCAAATATAGAAATTGGTAATGTGGACCTGGGAATACACCAGCTCTGAGAAGTTCAAGTTTGTGTGTCATCATATAATCACGTGATACTTGAAGCCAGAGGGGAAGAGATGTCACAAGAATGGGTATAACTCACTGGCCTCTGCAGAACTTAAGATTCCTTACTTTATGAATTTCCATCTGAATGAAGAGTCTTTTTTTTTAAATTCTTTTAACTTTGAACTCTTTAAATTCAATTAGTTAATGTAAAGTGTATCATTAGTTTCAGATTGAAGAGTCTTTAAAAAATTTTTTTAAGCACTTTGAAATGTTTAAGAGAATTAAGGGGAAAAAGAAAAAGCTATAAAAAAGAAATATAAATGAAATAAGTAAAAAAAATGAAATAAGTCAGAGAAAGACAAATACTGTATAATCTCACTTATATGTAGAATCTAAAAAAATCGAACACACAGAAACAGAGAACAGATTGGTGGTTGCCAGAGGCAGGGGTGGGGGGGGGGAGAATGGGTGGAGGTGGGCAAAAGGTACAAATTTTTAGTTATAAGATAAATAGGTCCCTGGGGCATAATATTTGGCATGGTTTGACTACAGTTAACAATACTATATTGTACATTTGGAAGATACTATGAGAGTAGATCTTAGAAATTACAATCACACATACACAAAACTAAGTATGTGAAGTGATGAGTGTTAACTAAAATTATTGTGTTAAACATTTCACAATATATACACATATAATTATGTTATACACCTTAAACTAATATAATGTTATATGTCAAATACAACGCAATAAAACTGAAAAAAGGAAGTATAAATGGTTAATGAAAATTTTACCGTCCAGTTGCAAAGATATGAAAATAAAAGCAACACGGAGAGATAATTTATGATTTCTCAATCTCATTCCAATTTTTTTTGAAAAAAATTAATGCCTTCATAGTAGTTCATCAAATGAATAGCTCTTAATCTGTTTAATCATTCTCTCACTGGTAAATATTTACATAATTTATAATTTTAATATAACACTGTGATAAACATCTATATATGCAAATCTATGCCTAAATGTTGTGTTTTTAGGTTAGATTCCTAGAAGATGTGTTTTTAGGCTCATAAAGGAACAAATATTTTAAAGGTCTTTCACTCACATTGTCACATTGCTTCCAAAACATCAGTATCAATTTTCACTTCTCCTATGTGACTATCTCATTATAGCCTTCCTGGTACGGATTGTTACATGTTTTTTAAAAATCTTTGGCAATTTGATAGGTAAGAACTTATATCCCACTGTCTTAAGTTTCATATTTTTCTTGGAATTTGAATATTAAAAATTTCAATTAATCATTTGCATTTCTTCTTTGATGAAACAATCCATCTATATCTTTTTCCTGCTTTTATATTAGGGTATTCCATTTTTCTTGGTTTGTAAGAAATCCTTGTATAAGGAATCATTAGGTCATATTTATTGTAAATACTTTTTGACCTTTGTCCTAAAATTATTATTTTCATGTTTGTTTGTTTGTTTTTATAGAGAGAATCATTATTAAGTAGCCTCTCTACTAAACTTTTGCTTTAAGAGTTTTTCCACTGTGCTTGTGCAGTCCAAATGTGGAATCTGTCTTTCTGACTTTATCTCAAGTGACTTTATCTCAAGTGACAGAAGGAAGAAGTGAAACACTATGGGCACATCCACTGCCTCAGGGAGCGAGGTCACTGACTCCGGGTGGGGGGCAGGTGCACAAGGCACTCAGGCCTGGGCATTTCAATGCTGAGGACAGGAAAGTTTTGGGAGGTGAGGACTTGGGTCCCTGAGGATACAGGTTTTTGTTTTGTTTTGTTTTTAAGATTTTATTTATTTGACAGACAGAGATCACAAGTAGGCAGAGAGGCAGGCAGAGAGAGAGAGGGGGGGGACGCAGGATCCCTGCTGAGCAGAGAGCCTGCCGCAGTGGGGCCTGATCCCAGGACTCTGGGATCATGACCTGAGCTGAAGGCAGAGGCTTTAACCCACTGAGCCACCCAGGTGCCCCAGGATACAGGTTTTGGAAGTAGCAGCAAAACAGCTTCAATGCAGGAATCTATTGAGAAAGTTTCCCCAGTTGAGATCACTGTGTCGAGAAGGGGGAACCTTCCTTAAGATTTCATATCTGAAAGAATTTCAGAGTGTATGGCCCAGCAGAGGAGTGGAAGGACTCTGAGCCTAGTGGGACAAGTGGTAGGGAGGGGGCCCCAGGGGAGCCTTGGTGCATGGTCTGTGTCTGGCCCTGCTGTCACCAGAGCCATGGAAGTGGGTTCTCAGATGAAAATAAAGTGGCATTTTCTTCGGACATCCTCAGGGGAGGGATGACTGGGAGAAAATAATATTTAGAAAAATAGTATAAATTTTCATGCACTATTCATCCTTTTATCCTTTTGTGATTTTTAACTTAATAAAAATTTCCCCCCTGTACTTAAACATGCTATTCCTGGATTCCCTTATTCTATGCTATTCCATGATTACTTTTAATTTTACCATTTGTGAATACATAAATAAAGATATACATATATGTATGTACAGATATACACACGGACGTATGTTTATCACTTGTACATCCAAGTATTTATTGCTGTGAAATGTATCTAGACAGAGAGGGACTGAGAGAAGAGACTGGGAGAATCATGACACAGCCTGGGAGTGCATGACACAGAGAGACATGGGAGGCACAGAAAAACACAATTACCGTGTGAAGAACACAGATACAAGGACAGACATGGAGAGGTTTTAGAGAAAAAACCATGTCATGAGGGAAGCAGAGCCAAAATGACGTATCACACTGAGAAGGCTGCCGTGACTAGAGAAATAGGCCGTGGTCACGATGCGCCGCTGGATAGCTCATGGGCTAGAAAACATACACGGGCAGGTTTGACACAAAAGCCTCACTTCCCTTGGTGTTGTCCCCTTGACATTTTTCTGTGAGGTACGGGGCAAATACCTTTGGCATACGTCTATGTAAGAGCTTCAGTTAACACAACTGTGCAGAGCAATAGAAGCAGAAGGAAGTTCCCTGTGTCCTCCCCCGCCTCTGCTTCTATTGTGGGCTCTGTAACTTGGTCAGGGCAGAAACCAGGTCAAAGTGCAAATGATTGAGTGTGGAAAAATTTCTGTGCATTCTCCACTGCAAGGGAGTGACTCTTCTTTCTCTTTGGTAGAAATGACACCTGTCATTATTTCTGTATTTTTAAGGTTTCAAAATATTGTTAAACTGCAATTCTAAAAAATGCTAAAAGGAGCTAATACACAGATGTATTTCAGAATCTTTCTTAACCCATGACTCCAGGGAGCCATGCCTAACTGTCCAGTTTGCAAATGAAATAAAACCTTTTCACTTTTCCTGGACAGGATCATACATTATGCATAAATGCATTATTCATACCTGTTCTGCATGTAGGCTATGACCTTCACATCAGAGTACGAAATTTAGCGGGAGGTACAATAGAAAAACAGGATAAAAATGATTACTGAAACAACAATTGAAAAATAAAATAGGACCACAACAGTATCTAAAATAGCATCAAAATACATCAAATACCTAAAAATAAACCTAATGAGGGATACTGAAGACTTCAACACTGAAAACTACAAAACAATGCTGGGAGAAATTAAAGACCGAGATAAAGTAAGGCTATTCTTCTTCTTTAAAGATTTTATTTATTCATTTGAGAGACAGTGACAAAAGGACCACAAGCAAGGGGAGAGGCAGAGGGAGAGGGAGAAGCAGGCTCCTGGCTGAGCTAGGAGCCAGACATGGGGCTTGACCCCAGGACCTGGAGATCATGACGTGAGACGAAGGCAGATCATGACGTGAGACGAAGGCAGACCTTAAACCATCTTGAGTCACCCAGGCGCCAAAGTAAGGTTATTCTATTTTCATGGATTAGAAGACCCAATATTGTGAAGATGGTAGCTCTCATCAAATTTATTTACAGATTCATTGCAACCCAATCAAAACCCCAGCAAGTAAGTGTGTGTGTGTGTGTGTGTGTGTGTGTGTGTGTATGTAGTGAAAGTTGATTCTAAAATTCATGTGGAAGTAAAAAGGATGTATAATAGTCAAGATACTCTTGGAAAAGTAAGAACAAAACAACGTATTACACAGGGAAGGATGCAGTGACAGGAGAAACAAGCTATTGAAGGAGTCCTCTTTCCAGATTTCAAGATTTATTACAAAGCTACAGCAGTTAATATGTGTGGTATTGGAAAGCAGATAGAAAAATAGGTCCATGGAACAGAATGGAGTGTCCAGAAATAGACCACACAGATAAGGCCACTTGATTTATGATAGTGAGGAAAAGTTGGTCTTTACAATAAATGGTGCTGGAACATAACTGGATATCCATATTAGAAAAAAATTAATCATGATCGTCATGTTGTGGTTTTTAAAAAAAATCCATGTAAAATATGTACGTATGTATGTATTATAATTGTTATTGAAGTATAGTTAACATAAAATATTATAAGAGTTTCAGGTGTACAACATAGTTGTTCTACAATTAAATAGATTACAAAATGCTCACCATGATAAATGTAGTTACCATCTGTCACCACACAAAGTCATTATATTATTGAGTACATTCCTTATGCTGTACTTTTCATCCCCTTGACTTCTTGCATAACTGGAAGTTTATACTTCATCCCCTTCCTCATGTTGTGGTTTTAATTTGTATTTTTCTGATAACTAATGGTGTTGAGTACATTTTTACATGCTTATTGGCCATTTGGATATATTTTTTGCATACACAAAATTAATTCAAAATGAACCTTAGATCTAAATATGAAAGGCAAAGCAAAATTTACAGAAGAAAACCTAATAATATATATATCCTCCTGACCTTGGACAGCCAAAGATTTCTGAAACAGGAAGCACTAACTATGAAAGAAAAATTAATCAGTTGGACTTCATTAAAATTAACTCTTATTATTCAGAATAGAAGATATTTGCAAAAGGTAGTTGCAATACATCTAGGACTCATATTCAGAACACATAAAGAATTGCAAATGAAAACAAAGATAAATTATTAAAAATGAGCAAATGACATAAAGGAGTAGATCTCTTTATCTGGCTACTTTTTTTTTTTTTAAGGTTGTTATTTATTTATTTATTTTTAGAGCAGTTTTAGGTTCAACCTATCTACTTTTTAAAAATAGTCTAACTACTCACAGAGACCATCAAAACTGATGAAAGGTCAAAAGGTTTCCTATACAGGTCTCTGTTCTCTTGAGAAAGATGATCTGATGAGATATTTGATGTTAAAATGTCATTAGAGTCCTCCACAATCCCAGAGTGGCAGCTTGTCCTCTAATGACACTGTATACATTCCTGTATCAGAGGAGTTTTAGTACTCCTTGTAGATGTGTATCCTCCAGAATAAATTCTGAAGAAAATGGAGGAAATCTTCAGTGAAGGGCAAGGATGGGACTTCCACAGAGCTATAGACGTCCTTCACTTGCCTGTCTCTCCTCTGGGACACTTTGTCTCATTTTCCATGCAGAGCTGAGAACCCTAACGGTAGGTGGAATTCCTACACCTTGTACATATCTAATTACCACAAATTTCATGATAACTCAAATATTGGATTATACATCAGCCTTCCGCACCTGACTGATGGCTCCTTAAAGAGCTATGTTTAATTCATCTTCATATCTCTAGAATCTAGCACATTACAGGGCAAATAGTAGGTTCTCAGAATGTTTCTGAAGGAAACAACTAGCAACAGAACAACCTGAAGGAATGCAGAAGTTGAAATAACTCTATGGGAAGCTCAGAGACAGCAACTCTATGGGACAGCAACTCACCTTGGCTATAGCCTCGGGCTCAAGGAGCCAACCCAACGTGTTACAGAGTGGTTTTATACTCTCATAGAATATTTTTTTTCTTCTCAATTTTATTTTATTTTTCAAAGATTTTATTTTTTATTATTTATTTGACAGACAGAGATCACAAGTGGGCAGAAAGGCAAGCGGGGTTGGGTGGGGGGGAAGCAGGCTCCCTGCTGAGCAGAGAGCCCAATGTGGGGCTCGATCCCAGGACCCTGAGATCATGACCTGAGCCGAAGGCAGAGGCTTAACCCACTGAGACATCCAGGTGCCCCTCCTCTCAAATAATTTTAAGTGACATAATTATCAAATTACAGAAAAATACCAAAGAAGTTCATTGAGAGTCCAAAACAGATTTGTTGTCTTTGACTTTTGCCCTGAATGCTTACTCAAGGTCTTTGTACAAAATAGACCTGTATGGATATCTTGTTCTTTATAAACCAAAGATAAACCTTCTGATTTGTCAGCAGTAGGACATAGCATCGGACGCTCTATTTTCCCCTTAGATTGGACAATCACTTGTGTGTCCATCCATTTCCCCTATGAATGCATGTTCAAGGTGGTGAGAAGAAATAAGTTAGCCACAGAGTGAAATTTGTCTCTGTTTACAACTAATTAGCTATAGAAGAAATATCTAACTTTGGTACATGCTTCACAGGCACCATATTTTTTTTTTTAAGATTTTATTTATTTATTTGACAGACAGAGATTACAAGTAGGCAGAGAGGCAGTCAGAGAGAGGAGGAAGCAGGCTCCCTGCTGAGCAGAGAGCCCGATGTGGGGCTCGATCCCAGCACCCTGGGATCATGACCTGAGCCGAAGGCAGAGGCTTTAACCCACTGAGCCACCCAGGCGCCCCCACCATATTTTAATGAACTGAACTGAACTCAATTAAAGAAAATAAAAGTTAATGAAAGATTAATGTCAAAGCTATGAAATTATATTGCATAATGGTTTGGACATTAAAAACTGCGAAAGAGCATACGCATTTGGGTCTGGACTTCTTACCTCTTTGATGATTTCCTCTAAGATTTCAGCATGCTTTTCATATGGCTGTTCAAAGTTCATGTCCTTTGTCATTTTCACAGTCTCCTCTATCATAGAAAGAACCTCTGGATGCTCTGCAGTTACGTCTTCTATTGAGTCTTCTAATGTGTCTAAAGCAAAATAACCTGACACCATTAATAATTTTAGTGGACAATATTACTTACAATAGATCATGATTGTCAATACTTGATCCAAGAAAGTACTATTTTTGTGTTACTGCAGTACGTGCTCCAAGAAGGGGGAAATAGACTGGGGAGGAAACGTGAAGTCAGGAAATATAAAACTTCAGAAGGTCAGAATGAAGCCAAAACCCAGGAAGCCAGATAGAAGAGGGAGGGAGCAAAGGATTTCTGGGTCAAGGTAAATCATGAGCATCGAGGGAATGAATCAGAAAACAAGATGAATACTTCCAGTCACAAGCATGGGACCACGTGCAACAGTGAGAGGAAAAGAGGTAGGCAAGTTGGCCGGGATGGAAGGGAGGATGGCACAGGTGGGGTTTTCAAGTGTTCTACTTCATTCTTACCCTCACTTCAAGCTGAATGACTGTTCATACGGCTGCCGTGGCTCACAGGCTTCATCAGAATATAAGTATTCATCCCCTCCTCTAACAAGACAGAAGACCGGCTGCTGCCCTTGGCTCCTCTACCTCTGCTTTTCCAGTTCTGCTTCCTGAACTGCTGTCCTAACACTCCATCACCAGGGTCTCCTGCTAGAGACTCATCTATCCGAGCCCAGAAAAAAATGCCAAAGGGCCTTCAAAGGGCAGCTGCCTACTTCCCAGCTACTGGGAACTGAGAAGCTTATTCTTAAGGGTGGAGAGAACCAGCAGTTCCTAGAGAGATACCAAATGTTCTAGAGGCTGCTAGTTGTTCACTCAATATCCATTCCTCTCTTTCTTAATAACAGAACCCTGAGTTTGTGGGGGTCAGCAATGTGCCCAGCTAAAAACACTACATCTCTCCACTTCCCTTATAACCTAGATGGCCTTTAGATAACATGGAACCAGATTATTTTCTGGTGAGTCTTCCGGTCCTCTCTCTAACAAGGAACAACTGGGCTGGGTGAAGTGCCAGTTTTTGTCCCTTGCCTCTTTCCTCTTCCTGCCAAGCATACGGATATGATGACTGCAGTACCGCCAGCCATTTTGCAGCTTGGTAGCCACATTCCAGGGATAGCAGAACAGAAAGACAGAGCCCTTGTCTTCCCAATATTCTTTTCATCAAAATAATATACCACATTTTCTTTTTTCTGTGTTTTTGCATGTCTAACTGTTCCTCATAGAGTAGACTTTAAGAGAACCCTCCTACACTGTTGGTGGGAATCCAAGCTGGTGCAGCCACTCTGGAGAACAGTATGGAGGTTCCTCAGAGAGTTGAAAATAGAGCTACCCTATGGCCCAGCAATCACACTACTGGGTATTTACCCTAAAGATACATATGTAGTGATCCGAAGGGGCACGTGCACCTGAATGTTTATTGCAGCAATGTCCACAATAGCCAAACTATGGAAAGAACCTAGATGTCCATCAACAGATGAATAGATAAAGAAGATGTGGTATCAAAAGAAATGAAATCTTGTTGTTTGCAACTAGAGGGTATTATGCTGAGTGAAATAAGTCAATCAGATAAAGACAATTATATGATCTCTTTGATATGAGGAATTTGAGGCAGGGCAGGGGGTTGTGGGGGGTAGGGAAGGAAGAAAATGAAACAAGATGGGATCAGGAGGGAGATAAACCATAAGAGACTCTTAATCTCACGAAACAAACTGGGGGTTGCTGGGGGAGGGTAGGAGGGTAGGGATAGGGTGGCTGGGTTATGGAAATTGGGGAGGGTATATGCTATGGTGAATGCTGTGAAATGTGTAAGCCTGATGATTCACAGACCTATACCCCTGGAGCAAATAATACATTATGTGTTAATTTAAAAAAAAGAAGATAGAGTAGCCCTTAAGATAGAGTATTAATAATGTTTTTTAGTTTATTATTTATTTTTAAAGATTTTATTTATTTGCAAGAGATAGAGATAGATAGAGAGGGGACACAAGCGGTAGGGAGGGGCAGAGGGAGAGGGAGGAGCAGACTCCTGGCTAAGCAGGGAGCCGACACAACACGGGGCTTGATCCCAGGACTCTGAGATCATGACCTAAGTTGAAGACAGACACCCAACCAACCAAGCCACCCACGTGCCCCAATATATTTATATTTTTTAAATCACACATTTCTCACACAGAATTTCTCAAAATTCTGAAGGAATTATTTGTGATTTTGAGATCCACAATCTGAGATAACCATATTAACCAAATATTAATTAACTTTTTGGGGGTCCTATTTAAAATCTTGACCAGAGCTTTGAAAACTCCTTTTAAATGGAGATGATTCACTGGTTTCTTTCTCATCTATGAATAAAACATTGTTAACACTTCAAGAACAACATGACATTGTAGGTGATTCCCAATACAGAGTGTGGTATGATAGGCCCAGGGAGCCAGGACTTATGTTCCCAATTTTTTAAAACTGATATTACAATCATAGTAATCAAAGAGGTCAACAATAGGGCATATACCATACACAGTGAAAAACAGAGATGATAACTTATCACAAAACCAAGAGTAATTTTAGTTTCATACCATGCCAGTGGATCTAAATTAGAAACAAAAATCAAATTTGCCCTTCCTGATGGAACAATCTCCTGGCTCCAAGAGGTAAAGGCTGTGCAGGGAGCATGCCTTTTCCCAGGGCATCCTGGTGGCATTGACATCGCTTCAGTGGAGGATAGAGGCACTGATGCCTCCTACTTCTACCCTGCACTACCTCCCCCAAAGAGAAAACAGACAGCAAGGGTCCAGGGCTTTCTTTCTGTTTTGGTGCTAGGAATTCTGCAGCAGCTGAGAAGGGGCTCCCAGATGTTACTTGGTCAAAAATTTAACGTCTGGGGTCCTCTTGTGAAGACTGTGTGTGTATATCGTAGGTGGCGTGCCATATGTGAGTTTCTGACAGGGCCCAGTTCAATTCCTACTAGGCTTAAAATAAACACCGGCCAAGGACATATCTGTCTGAATTATGAGGAACCAACCAAACAAACAATCAGCTCTATATTATATAACAAAAGGAATTACAGATGCATTTAAACACTAAATGCCAAAAGGTCGGACCGATAGAAAAAAAAGAATATAAGTATGTATTAAATCTCAGGTTGAGAGGAAGACTTGGTAAGATCTGAAACTAAATGGAAGAAATCAATAAAGTGAAAGTAACGATTTGACTACAAAACTATGAAAAAGTCCCTCTACTTCAAAAACAGCAAAGTGATTTAAAAGGCAAATGACCCAATGTGGAAAAAATATATACAAAATAAGGGACTAATACAGAAAAATTTTTTAGAAACATATAACCAATAGGACAATTTAGAAAAATGAGCAAAAGACAAAAATGATCACCTCAGAAAAGAAGAAATATAAATGATTAATAAATATTAGAATATTAAATTTCAGAAATCATGAAATAAAAATTGTGGAAATTATATTTTAAAAGAAAATATGCCAAGGGAACAATAACACATATTTTGTATATTACTGAGGAAAACAAAATTTGGAATAACTTTTATGCAAAGCAATTTGACTCTGTCTATAACTTCATGCCCATTAAACTAGTAAAAAAAAATCTGAAAAATAAGTTTACACCATAGGAACTACTTAAAATTATTGCATATGAACAGGGAAATAGTGCAATAATTTAAAATGAGGATTAAAATATTTTGTAATGAAGTAATATAATTAAATGTTGTATTATAAATCAAAAAAGGTAAAAATAGTTTACATTGTATGCTCTCAAGCACTGAATGGTAACATTTCACAGCTCAAACTCTAGGTTTGTGATGTTCTGATTCCAGTACATTAGACAGATTTTAAGAAAGAATTTATTATCTTATTAGTTTTTTCTTCATTCTAATAAATCTATTTCTGTTCTATAGTTATTCAGTTCAAATCCGTAAGAGAAAAGCTAACTGTTTTTCAACCTAAATGTCCAATTTGGGGGATGATTTTACGTTTCAATATAAACATGAAAAAAACAAGAAATAAATGGAATAAGATCCATAAACATGGCATGAACCATACATTCTGTTATCGTCTTTACCGGTCTTAGAGGATTGATCATCGAGGACATTTTCTGAACTCTTTTTGTCTTCCTTGTCTTCTAAAGAGCCATCTTTTGGGGGTTCATGAGTGAACGCTGCATGAAAGAATAATATGCTTTATCAGTTAATCTGTTTAGATCAGAAAGAATTTGGCCAAGAACACCAGCAATGTATTTTTTTTTTTTTACCACCTTCATCAAATGAAGACTCTGACTCTTCTAAGCTCTTAAAGGCATCAGATGGGAACTTGTCATATTCTTTCTTTTCAAATTCTCTTTCAAGTATTCTTAAAGTTGACTGTGCTAAAAGAGAGTAAGGGGCTGTGTTAGCAAAATAGATTTGGGGGTAGGAAGACAGGGGTAGAGATTAAATCTTCTGCTCTAAAGAGACTTGAGTGTGAGTTCTGACCCAGATAGTGTGGCTTTGGCAAATCATTTGATCTCTCAGTTTCAATTTCTACTGGGCAAAATGAGGAGATCAAGCCAAAAGTATTGTTGTAAGGATTAAATGAGAAAATAGACTCAAACACTAAGAAAATGCTTAGCACGCAGGAAGCCTAATGTGTGTTATCTACCATCCTCTGTATTATAGAATTTTCTATGTTAAAAAACCTCAGTAATCTTCACTGACAAATTTTTCTTAAAAATATATTTGGGAGAACCATGAGAGACTATGGACTCTGAAAAACAACCTGAGGGTCTTGAAGGGGTGGGGGGTGGGAGGTTGGGGGAACAAGGTGGTGGGTATTAGGGAGGGCACGTATTGCAGGGAGCACTGGGTGTGGTGCAAAAACAATGAATACTGTTACGTTGAAAAGAAATTAAAAAAAAACAAAACCCAAAAATGTATATTTGGGAGTGAAATTGCAATGCTAGCAAATTAGTGGAACCAGCATGAAAATTCCAATTAAAAAAATTTTAAGAATCCTACTGTCAGATTTATTCTAAATCTGAATTCTAAATTATAGAATTTGAAAAAGAAAAAGAGACTTTTAAGTTTGCAGTGTATGAGAAAGGTCATCTATTTCTATGTTCTGGTGGGAGAAAGCAATTTGTGGAAAAATCTAAAATCTATGATTTCATGCCATAATTTGATGTGAAAGGAATCACTACAAACTCCAAGAAACACCATCAATCACTGTTCTTCCTCCTGGAGCCCAGCTAGTTCCTTCTTGATCCAGGTTTCAGTTAAATGTTCTCTTTTCAGAAAGGCCCTCCCTGCTCATCCTAACACTCCCACACCCCTGCCCCAGTCACTGCCTGACCCAGTACCATATTATATTTTTCTATCTGTTCACTTACCACCCTCCCCTCATTAAAATGTAACAACCACAAAGACAGGAGTTTCATGTGTCTGGTTCACCTCTGTAGCCCAGTGCCTAGAATCATGTCTAACACAGAGTACTAGGTTGAATGAATTAATGAATTCATTTTGTCCAGCCTTAAATAAGTTAAATAAAAAGCCATCTTATTAGTCCTCCCCAAATTTCTTGAGCTTTAGTTTGTGAATTTTCCGTGAGTATTTAGTAAACTTTCAGTTTTCATTCTGAAGATAATATACTAAAAACAAATTCATTCTGGATCATCTAGATGATCATTTGTATGGCATGTGATTTTTTTTATTACTATGTTCAATTAGCCAACATATAGTACCTTGTTAATTTTTGATGTAGTATTCAAGGATTCATTAGTTATATATCATTCATTAGTTGCATATAACTCATGCCCTCCTTTATACCCATCACCTGGTTATCCCATCCCTCTGCCCCCCTCCCTTCTGTAACCCTCAGTTTGTTTCCTGGAGTCCAGAGCCTCTCATGGTTTGTCTCCCTCTCTGATTTCTCCCCATTCAGTTTTCCCTCCCTTCCTCTATGGTCCTCCACACTATTCCTAATTTTTTAAAAAAGATTTTATTTATTTGAGAGAGTGAACGTGCACGAGTGGTGGGAGGAGCAGAGGGGTTGGGAGAAGCAAACTGAGCAGGGAACCAGGAGGCAGGGCTCAATCCTAGGAGCCAGGACCATGACTTAGCCAAAGACAGACACTTAATCAACTGAGCCACCCAGGCACCCCAAGGATGGCATGTAATTTTAATGCTGGTCTTTTTGCTATTGCTTTTGTAATCCCTTGGGCACCATGTTGGACTTTTTTTTTTACTTGTTTATAGGCTGCTGAGAAAGAAGAGACAGATTTATCAGGCAAATAACCCATTCTATCCTAGCAAAAGCTTAACATTGTCATGTTGGAAGATCATTTCCTTGCTATTTAATAGTTTCAAGCACAGAAAATGATAGAAGCTTCCCAATTTATATAAAAAGTTTTCCTCATCTGTCAAGTTACAGAATTGTGTTAATTATCACTAAAGCTTCTTCCAGTTTCACTGCCTTATGACTGTTTTGAACACTGTGTTTGCGAGCACAGCAAGTCCCAGCCCTCGGGCACACAGGCTGAATTGCTGACCTCCGCTTAGAACACACATGCGACAGAGGTGGTTCACCTTGTTTTTTAGCTTGTAGTTTAATGAATAACCGCTCTCTTACAGCTTTAATGGCTGTTTCAGTGGCCTCCGCTATTGTATCTTTCACTAATGTTTCAAGGGCTTTATCAAAACGTGGTTGAACAAACGTGGCGTAGTCAATTACCTGCAAAGAATATTTGAGAAAACCAAAAGAAGCACAAATCACTGTGAATATTAACGCATTGTTCAACTATATCTATTTCTAGATCTATACTTATCTACCTCGAAGATCTTAATGTCACTTGAGATGTATTATTTTCAGAATTCAGTGATTTTTGAGTACATGCTTTCACAGAAATTCAGTCATACTTTTCATGTAGTATGATATACTTAGATATATATATATATCATGTAATAAATATTCAAGTTACACATAATTTTTAAAAAAATCTATTTTACATGTGTAACTTACAATAAGAGGCATCTATTTTAAGTATACAGTTTGATGAGTTTTGACAAATATATATACACATAACAACAGCTATACTCAAGATAAAGAACATTTACTTTTTATTATTTTTTAAAAGATTTTATTTATTTATATGACAGAGAGAGACACAGCAAGATAGGGAACACAAGCATCAGGAAAGGGAGAAGGAGAAGCTGGCTTCCCACTGAGCAGGGAGCCCGATGCAAGGCTCAATTCCAGGACCCCAGGATCATGACCTGAGCCAAAGGCAGAGGCTTAACCATCTGAGCCACCCAGGCGCCCCAAGATATAGAACATTTATATCACCTAAAAAAAGTTCCCTTATTCTTCTTTATAGTCAGTTCCTGGCCTCTGGCTATCACTTTGTTTTTTGTCACTATGTATTAGGTTTTTTGTCACTATATATTAGTTTTTTTGTCACTATATATTAGTTTTGCCTTTTCTAGAATTTCATATAAATTCTAGGATTTATTTCATATAAATTCTAGAATTTCTAGAATTTTGTATAAATGGAATCACAGAGTATGTAATCTTTTCCAAGCTTTTCCCCCTTAGCACAATGTTTTTGAGATTCATCAGTGTAACTGTATACACCAGTAATCTGTTCCTTTCTATTACTGAATAGTATCACTGTGTAACTATGCCACGGGTGGTGATGGTGGTATTCTTTTTAATCCATTTATCTTTGATGGGCATTTGGGCTTTTCCAATTCGGGGCTGTTATAAATAAACTAGTAATGAACATTTCCGAGGAAGTCTTTTTGTGGACATATGTTTTTATTTTTCTTGGACAAATACCTAGATGTGGAATTACTGGGTCATACAGTAAGTGTATATTTGATTTCATAAGCCATTCCACTGTTTCCAAAGTGGTTGAGCTATTTTACATTCCTAGCAGCAATTATGGAAATTGCAGTTAACTCCACATCTTCACCAGCACTTGTTTCTCTGAATCTTCCAAATTTTAGCCATTCTAGTGGGTGTGAAGAAGTATCTCACTGAAGTTTAAATTCATATTCCTCCAATCTCGAATAAATGTGAGCTTCTTTCATGTGGTATTGGTCACTCACTTACCTTCTGTTTTAATCATATGTTCAACTTCTGCCCATTTAAAAAACTGGATTAGAATTCTATATGTATTATGAAAGTCCATTGTAAGGTAGATAATATATTTCATACTGAATATTAAGATCTTAGAAGTAGATTTCTATATGAAATCTTAGATTTCATATAGAAATTTTAAGTATAGAAATTTCATATAGAAATTTCACATAGAAATTTTAAATAAGATTTTAAGATCTTAGAAGTAGATTTCTATATATTCTATATATAGATAAATATATTTATATATCTATAAACTTTAAAGTTTAAATAATATTTCCATCCTTCTAGGTTCCACTTTGCTTTTCCCTCAATATGATTGTATTACTTTATTCCATGCCAAAATATATATATGCACATCATCATTTTTTAATGGATATACAGCATTATATTAGACGAACATACTAAATTTTATTTAACTAAAATGCTAATAATGTATACTAAGGTATACATGTTTTTGCTATTATAAACTAGGCTATGATAAACGTGGTTATGTATATATCTTTTATAGTTTCTTTAGGAAAAATTTATAAAATAAAATTGACAGTTCAAAGGATATGTATGGACTTCAGGCTCTTACATAGTTCTAATTGTGATCCTTAATGGTTATACTCTCACCAGCAGTGTAGGAAAATGTATTTCTCCCCATCCTAGCTACACATCAGTATTGGGTGTTAATAGTGATCTTTGAACTCCAACAGTGAGATTGACATGGCATCTCTCCAGTTTTTTTGGCACCTCTCTGGTTATCAGGGAGGTGATAACCCTTTTCTCATGCTTAGTGGCTACTCTATTGTAGCTATTATTTTGTGAATTGCTTATTTGCTATTTTTTCCATTGGGGGTTCATCTGCATATTGATTCATAAGAGCTCTTTATATTTTAAAATTATAGTTCTTTAGTCTGACACATACTGTAATATAATATGAAATGACAAACCACAGAGTGGTAGAAAATATTCATAAAGCTTATTATCAAAAAAGAACTTGTATATAGACAATATAAGGAATTCCTACCAATAACATGAAAAAAATTTTCAAATGGGCAACAAACTTGAACAAACACTTTAAAAAGAGAGTATCTGAACGGCCAGTAAACAAAAGAAAACATGTTTAACCTCGTTATTTTCAAGGAAGTACAAATTAAAACCACAGTGAGATACATCTATTAGAATGGCTTAAATTGGAAAGACTGACCATAATGAAAGTTGGCAGGAATGTGGACTAACTAGAGCTCTCCCACACTGCTGATAGAGTTATAAAATTGATAGAATTAGTTTGGAAAACAGTTAAGCATTATCTACATATGTTGAATGTATGCACTGTCCATGTCCTAGGAATTTTACTGCTAGATATTATCTCCATAATATATAAAGATATCAAGTGTGCCCCCGGAAACAGGTGCAAGAATGTTTATAGCAATATTATTCATAATACCCAGACTCAAACTGGAATCAGCCCAGGTTTCATAAACACTCCAATGGATGAACAAATTATAGTATAAAAAAAAAGCATGAACTGTAGCTATATGCAGTAACATGTATAAATAACATTCATAAATACCACAATCATAATGTGAAGTGAAAAAAAGCCAGGCATAAAGAACATAAGTTGTTTAAGTCTAGAAAGTTCAGAAAGTGTGAAAACTAACCTGTGGCATTTAGATGTACACTCACATGGTAAAACCACAAAAGAACAGGAGTGAATGCCATAAAAATTTCAGGGCAGCAGTTACCCTTGTGGAAGGGGTAAGAGGACTGATAATGGGAGAAGACATGAGGGGGCTTCCAGGGTGGTGACCGTTATTTGACCTGGGTGGTGGTTATCTGGGGGTTTGTTTTGTGACAATTCACTGAGCTTCACTTTTCTGTTTGTCATATTTTACAATAAAAAATTAAAAGCAAATAGAAGAAGTTACCCTTGTGTTCAAAGGAATAGCACTTGAAATCAGTTCACACCCTTCCCAGGGCTGCACTGCTCTGATGAGGCCTTCGGCCCCATCATCTTCCGCCTTCCCCTTCTTGCTCTCCGCTTCAGCACTCTGGCCTTAGCAGAATTCGCTCCATTCCAATTCCTCACGAACTCCATGGGCTCCATCTTCTAGTCATATCCCCAGTCTGCCTGCTTCTCACCATTTCTCCTGCTGTCATTCTCGTCTAAACTAAAAATAACTTCTCTTGACTTTACTCAGCATGGAGAACAGGATCCATGAGGAGAGAGGCCAAGGAACTGACAGACCAGGGTATGTGTCATCAAAGAGGGGCGTCTTTGCAGGTAATAAGAACGAAGATAGGAGTGACTGTGTGGGGAGAGGGACCCAGAGCTAGGAGGACCCAGGAAATAGGAGATGAAGGAAACCAAAACAGGTCATGGTTGGCACAGTCTGTGTGACATTAACAGTCGAGTCTGGGGGCTGCTGGGAAGCAGGGAGAGACTGTGGTCTTGGCAGCCACAACAAGCAGCCAGGAAGAGGTCTTCCCCACTCCTGGCCCAGTGGGACAATTACCCAACTGACAGTGCAAAATTAAGAAAACAGAGCAATCCTGTGAATCCCTGAGTCCTACAAATTTTAATCAGGTATAGATAAAGCTAGCTAGCTGGGTAAGTAGTTACCTTTCCTTTGTAATTTTCTGCAAGCAGATGGCAAAGCGTTGTTTTCCCTGATGACTGAGGCCCAAATATGAACACTTTGAATGGTGGTGCTGGCATAGGTGGAAGAAGATAGGGACGTGGGTTCAATAAGAATGTTTTTAATGCTTCTTCTGATGAAAGACAGTATATTTTACCTAGGAAACTTAAAATAGGCCATAATCACAAACAATTGAAAAGAAGTATGGGCAGGTTTTAAAATTAAGTTTTGAAAATCTTACTTACCTCACAGAAAAATCTGGCAATCCCGGAAAAATGTTACCTTCTTTTAGAGTCACAGGACATGTACGTCCCCACCGGCTTCTCTGCCATCTGTATCTTGGTGCAATAAGTTTATAAGATGCAAGAGTACGGAAGAGCTCATCCTGTTGGTAACAAATACGACACTAAAAACGTGGGCATAGTTTTGCTAAAATTAACAGTATTAAGTATTTCCTTTCTTATTTGATGGTGCCTTACTGTTAAAGAGATAATTTGGAAAGCAAATTTTGGCTTTTTTCTTAATTGCAACCATTCTGGGTGGCTGAGTCGATTAAGCATCTGCCTTTGGCTCTCACCACCTTATCACAAGTCACGATCCCAGGGTCCTGGGATCGAGTTCGTCATTGGGCTCCCTGCTCAGTGGGGAGCCTGTTTCTCCCTCTGCCTGCTGCTCCCCGCTGCTTGTGCTCTCTCTCTCTGTCAAATAAATAAATAAAATCTTTAAAAAAAATTGCAACCACTCTGTACTTGCCCAAAATTTAGTAAGACAAATAGTTTTCTGTTTCTAAGACCTTGTTTTAAATTTTACCAAGCATTTTCTATTATAAGGTAGAATGAACATATGGTAGGTAGATAGAGTGTTTTTTTAATTCTCCTTTTTTGTTATCTGATTTGGAAAAATCCTTTTTTTTTTTTAAAGATTTTATTTATTTATTTGACAGAGAGAGATCACAAGAGGTAGAGAGGCAGGCAGAGAGGGAGGAAGCAGGCTCCCCGCTGAGCAGAGAGAGCCCGACTCGGGGCTCGATTCCAGAGTCCTAGGACCATGACCTGAGCCAAAGGCAGAGGCTTTAACCCACTGAGCCACCCAGGTGCCCCAGATTTGGAAAAAATCTTATTGAAAAGGTTTGGGGTGCTTGGATGGCTCAGTGGGTTAAGCATCCAACTCTTGATTTCAGCTCAGGTCATGATCTTAGGGTCGTGAGATAGTGAAGATTCTCTCTGCTTAAGGTTCTCTCTCTCCTTCTTCCTCTGCTCCCACCCCCACTTGTATGCTCATACATGCTCTCCCTCTCTAATAGAAAAAAGAGAAAGAAAAAAGAAAAAGTTTGAAAATGTACCAGATTCTTAGCTAATCTGTTATTAAATAGCACGATAATATACAGATGGCTTTTTTTTTTTGCATCTACTTAGCTCTTTTGTTCTTCTTAAAATATAAAGTCTTCCTCAGCAGTCCTCTGTTGGTGACCTCCAGAGATGTTAAGAACCACTTCTAGAGATTGCAGATTGTTGAGCAGGGGGTGAGAGAAATGGGGAGAGAGGGCATGGTGGGCAACTGCTGGGGGAAAAGGGACCAGGCTGGCTCTCTCTAGCCTTCAGATGTAGATCTCACATGTATCTGCTGGCTCCAGAACCAACTGTGGATGACAGATGAGAATGGGAGCTACGGTCTTGTCTGGACCACTGTTGCATCAGAGAGCAAAGACCATGCACGCTGCAAGGATGCGGCATGAATGTCTGAACTGAAGGCTGAAAGAAGTCGCTTAATGTTCAGGAAACTGTCGACGCTTAGGGGAGTTGCGTGAGACAGAGAAGCCCCTCTGTGGGCCACACTGGGCTACCACCCTTCTCCATGGAGTCTACAATGTACTAGGGACTGAAATGGAACTAGTTAAGTCAGGAAGCCATCATTCTTTCCTCATCATCCTTATTTCTTGTCCAATCTTGGGAAAAGTGTTTGACTAACAGACAGTGGGCATTCTTGCAAAGGAAACATGTTTAAATGGCAAACCATGCTCCTCTCTTGACCTCAAGCCCCTGAGGCCACATATCTAGTAGGTGCTGAGGGGTGATGAGGAACAGACCTTTCCAGTGAGTTTGATACTACAGTCTAAAAGAGCTCAGGACTGCCTCTGGCTAAACAAGGCAGACTGAACACATGTATTTGTATTTGCTGCTTTCCCAAAACTTCACAGAAATGACAGCAGAGAATGCAAAAAGGAATGACCTCACAAGAACACAGAATGGGAGGGGACACCAGAGGAGCTGACAGCTGACCAGCACGGCTACACATTTTCATAAGCTAGAAGGCAGATAGGTGGTGGAAACGGACTTAAATCGGAGAAAAGTGAGGGCTCAGTATCTGTGGTGGCAGGGATAGGTGTGAGATGGGCTGGGGAAGAGAAACAAGTTGATTCACTCTGCAAAATCCTAGAGGGATTTGGGACCTGTTGACATCAGGTACCTCTGAAGGGGGTGACAGCAAAAAACTGGGGGATTGGTTGAAAATGGCAAGAGCTACTCCCTATTTTCCTCAGCCAGCCAATTTTCCCTCAATCCTCCCACCACTTCTCCTTTCATCAGAAAACTGGAGGCTTACCTTCTGGAGAGACTGAGACTGGTCCAGAGGATCTTGTGAGAGGGATACAGCCAGGCAGGAGAAAGCTGGCAGCTACAACCACTACACTCAAGCTCTCTTTCCACTTGAGCCTCTTGCTAAAGAACTTCTGGACCCTTCCATGATGCAATAACTAAATAGTTAATGCCCAGCGCAAAGGAGATTCTTCAGCTCTACTGCCACCTCTGTCACAGTTGGGTGAAAGTCCCTGCCTTCCATCAGCTAAGTCACCAGGCCCAGTACAAAATGGAAATGCTGGGCCCTTGTTCTAAAGCTATAAAAAATTTCATTAAACGAACAGTGGGGCTCTTCTAAGGATGGGATCCTGCGTGACTGCATGGGTTGCTAACCCACAAAGCCAGTCTTACCCAGCAATACAGCTCTCAGATATTCTGAATATTACCTTGGTTCTGGAAACTTCACAAGCATCATCTCAGATAATCCTTACAATAACCCTATGTGGTAGAGGTTATCATCTCTTTAAAATTTTTTTTTAAAAGATTTACTTGTTAGAGAGAAAGAGCACAAGGAGGCAGAGCAGCAGGTAGAAGGAGAAGAGGGCTTCCCAATGAGCAAGGAGCCCAATGTGGGGCTCAATCCCAGGACCCTGGGATCATAACCTGAGCGGAAGGCAGACGCTTAACTGACTGAGCTGCTCAGGTGTCCCTATCATCCCTTTTTTAATGACTGAATAAAGGGAAAGCTACAGATCTGGTAGGCTTTATATCTGTCTGATTTGAAAATCAATGCTGTTTACCATCTGCTGTGCTGGGTGCCAATCTGACACTGTCCTTCCTCCCACTACACTCCCCCCATCCCTCACCCACATAGCTCCCCACTGTCCAGCAACAACTCATTAGATGTTACAGGGTTCACTCTTCACGAGGAAGTTTGAGTTCACAATGAGGTCTTTGTGTCTCTCTCACCCCTTTAAACCTGTGGTTCCCATCCCTGGTTGCACAGTAGAATCTGCAAGGAGGTTTTTGGGTTTTGTTTTTTAATTGTGGTACAATATACATGACATGATATTTATCATTTTAACTACCTTTACGTGTACAATTCAGCGGCTTGAAGTACATTCACAGTGTTGTGACCATCACCACTATTCATTTCCAGAACTTTTTCATTAACCCAAACAGAAGCTCTACACCCATTGAACAATAACTCCCCATTCCACTCTTCCTCATGTAGGTAGAATCATATTTGTTTTTTTGTGTCTGGCTTGCATCACTTGGCATGTTTCCAAATTCCATCCATAGTTTAGCATGTGTCAGAGTTTCATTCTTTAAGGCTGAGCAACATTTCAGTGTGTGTGTGTGTGTGTGTGTGTGTGTGTGTGTGTGTGTGTACATGTATATGTATATATATCACTGTTATCCATTCATCCTTTGATGGACATTTGGGTTCATTTTACCTTCTGACTATTGTGAATTAAGTGGCTATGAACATAGGTGTACAAGTTTCTGTTTGAGTCCCCGCTTTCAGTTTGTTTGGGTATATACGAAGGAGTGGAATGCCAGGTCTTATGGTTAAGTCTGTGTTTAACATTTTGAGGAACCACCAAACTGTTTCACATAGTGCTACATCATTTTATCCATCAATGATGCACAAATATTCTAGTTTCTCTCCATCCTTGACAACACTTATTCTCTGTTTTTGGGATAATAGCCATCCTAATAGGTATATAGTAGTATTTCACTATAGTTTAGATTTGCATTTCCCTAAAACTAGTTATGTTAAATATCTTTTCATGTGTTTATCAGCCATTTGTAAATCTTTGGAGACATGTCTACTTAGGTCTTTGTGCATTTTTGAATTGGGTTGTTTTATTATTGTTGAGTTATAGGCGTTCTTTATATGTTCTAGATATTAATTTCTTATCAGATACATGATTCACAAATATCATTTCCCATTCTGTGGGTTATCTTTTCACTCCATTGATAGTGTCCTTTGATGAACAAATATTTTTCATTTTGATGGAGGCCAATTCATCTATTTTTTTTGTTGCTTCTACCTTTGATACAGTTCCTGTATTTCAAAGAACTTTAGACAGATGTCTTTTAGCTAAAGGTAGGTGATTTTTAAAAAACCAATGTAATGGGAAAGTTTAAAGCAATGATTCCTGGCCCTGACAGTGGTATCATCTAGGAAGCTCTTTAAATATATTAATGTCCAGATCAGTTAAAACAGAATCTGGAATAGGACTCTGGCATTAATTGGAACAGGATATCAAAGTTATATCAAAGTTTGATCAAGGTTGATCAATCAGGTTCCCTTAGTGTCCCAAACTTTATTTATTTATTTTTTAAAGATTGTATTTACTTATGAGAGAGACAGAGAGAGACAGAGACAGAGAGAGAGAGAGAGAGAGAAAGAGCAAGTGTGTGTGGAGGGGGGAGGGCAAAGGAAAAGGGAGAAGCAGGCTTCCCACTGAGCAGGGAGCCCAATGTGGGGCTTGATCCCAGGACCCCGAATCATGACTCGAGCAGAAGGCAGAGGCTTAACTGACTGAGCCACCCAGATTCCCCTCAGTGTCCCAAACTTTAAAGTAGGGGTTCTTAAACTTAAGTGGGTATAGGAATCCTCTACGGATCTTGTAAAAAATACATTTCTAGTCCCAACTCCAGACATTCTAGTTCAATCAATCTGGAATCTGAGCCTAAGGAATCTGTATTTGTAGGACGCTTCTTAGATTATTCTTTTGGAGATGATCTGAGTTGTCAGGGAGAAATACTGCTTAAGGGTTATGAATAATGACCCAGTCATAACTTCTGCCCTTTCATGAAAAACAGGGAAGTCATCTTTAGTCCTCTATATTATGAACTATAACCTTAGGCCTATGCATACAACATTTTTTTTTTTTTAAAGTAGCTTCTATGCCCTGTGTGGGGCTTGAACTCATGGCCCTGAGATCAAGAGTCACATGTTCTACTGACTGAACCACCAGATACCCCACATAAAATAATTTCTAAGGACAAATTTTCTACCTGGGAAATTCCCCCAGGTTTTATGGATACTTTAAATTTTTCCTCTGATGATGACCTAGACGAGGAGGCTTAGCACAGAGACTCTAATCAGGCCCACCTTTCTTCCTCTTTAGCACTAGACAACTGAAGTCCCAGAACATACTGCAACTGTGCTTAAGACGTAAGGATGAGGGGCACCTGGGTGGCTCAGGGGTTAAAGCCTCTGCCTTCGGCTCAGGTCATGATCCCAGAGTCCTGGGATCGAGCCCCGCATCGCATCGGACTCTCTGCTCAGCAGGGAGCCTGCTTCTCTCTCTCTCTCTGCCTGCCTCTCTGCCTACTTGTGATCTCTGTCTAATAAATAAATAAATAAATCTTTAAAAAAAAAAAAAAGATGTAAGGATGACCCAGTCCAGGATCACAAAGTAACTTCTTCCTTCAAAGATTATTTTATTTGAATTATGGTATCTATTTATGATTCTTGTATTTGTTGTTCAATTTCTATTCATAGAGGTGAAACCAAACTTCTCAGAGTGGATCACATCCTCCAATTAAAGGCCTGAGAATAGGGGGGTCTGAGTGGATCAGTCAGGTAGGCATCTGACTCTTGGTTTCAGCTCAGGTCAGGATCTCATGGGTGGTGGGATGGAGTCCTGTGAGGGGAAGCTCAGCGGGGAGTCTGCTTGAAGATTCTCTTCCCTTGCCCCTCCCCCAGCTCGTGCTCATTCTCTCACTCTCTCACTCTAAAATAAATAAAATCTTATTTTAAAAAAGGCCTGAGGGGCACCTGAGTAGCTCAGTAAGTTAAGCAGCTGCCTTTGGCTCAGTCATGATCCCAGCGTCCTGGGATTGAGCCCATCCAGCTCCCTGCTCAGCAGGGAGCCTGCTTCTCCCTCTCCAGCTACTCTGTGCTTGTGTTCCCTCTCTTGCTCTCTCTCTGTCATGAATGACAGAAACCTTAAAAAAAAAAAAGTAAAAAAAGGCCTGGGAGCTTTTTTAGCACTTAGCACTGTCACATCCATAATACATCAGTGTCAGGAACACAGTAGTTATTTTAAAAATGGGTTGAATGATGGAAGGAATAAATGAATGCTGGTAGAGTTGAGGGTTTTAATGTCTTTGCTTCCTTTGGCGTTGCAAATTTTAAAAATGAGCTTGGTTTTCTTTCTCATTATTCTTGTAGCTAATTGTTCTGATTTTATTGTCTTTGTTTCAAAACTTTTCTGTACTGTTCACAAAAATATTGAGCTAATATTATAGCTTTTCCCTAAAAATTAAATCCGTCTTTATGAAAGGTACCCTGAAGTTCCTTTTATACTTTGGAAGGATACATTAAATTAAGGTCACAAAATGTAGTGAAAAGATAGACTTTCCAACAGTAAAAAAGAACTTACATTTTCCATTATGTCAGTAATTTCTTCCTCTGCACTCTGCAGTTTAGTTAAAACAGCTGCTCTTTTTAGGTTCAGATATTTAAGTCGGTCCATGACTGTCTAAATATGTTAAAGAACAAATATTTAAATACATTGACATTTGAACATCTCAAATATTCTGAAGTGATAAGCTTATGTATAGAATACTTCCTTGCTTCTACCTTCTGGTGGTTTGCTGGCCATCTTTGGTATTCCCTGGCTTGTAGATGTATCACTCCAATCTCTACCTGTGTTGTCACAGAGCCATCTTCTCTCTAAGTGTCTGAGTCTCTTCTCTTGCAAGGATACCTGCCATATTAAGTTAGGGTCCAGCCTAAGGCAGTGTGAACTCAGAATAACTTGTTTATATCTGAAAAGATCCTATTTCCAAATAAGGTCACAATCATAGGTACCGGAAGTTAGGAGCCCAATATATCTTTTGGGGGAACACAATTTAACCCATAAAGTCTGCCCTCTGGTCCCCAAATATTCGTGTCCTTAAAGGTCTAGCTCTGTGGGGCCTGTTCCGGCAGAGGGCATACAGCCATGTCAAGATGGAGGCAGAGATCGGAGTTATGCGGCCACAATCCAAGAGATGCCTGGGACTACCAGAAGCTGGAAGAGGCAATGTCTGATCAGCCTCTAGAGGCTTTGGAGGGAGCAGGGCCCTGCCAACACCTTGACTTTTTAATTTTTAGCCTCCAGAACTATAAGAAAATAAGTTTCTGTCATTTTAAACCACCTAATCTGTGGTACTTTGCTATGGCGAATTAGAAACTAACAGGGACACCTAGCAGAAGGATATGAAACATTGACTCTGAGGTTAAGATGGTGCATCGACAAAGTTCTGATGGAGAATGGTAATCTGTGGCAGATTGTATTATCTGTTCATAATTTATCCTTTCCTCCCTTCACATGTTAATTCCCTAGCTCTCTGTGGGTAGAATATACTTCCCTAGCCCACTGGTATGGCGTTTCTCCATGTAACTTGTTTTGGCCAATGGGATGGGCAGAAAGGTCAGGCTTTTCTGGAAAATGAGGCCTGGCAAGGTTTGGCAGTGTTCAACCAGGCCTATCGGAGCTTCTGCTCTCTACCTTGAGACTTGTGTTGTAAAATCTAAATTCTGGATATATTTCGAAGCAAAAGCCTGCTTGGATGTGGGATGTGAGAAAAAGAGAAGAGCAGCTTGAAGAGTGGATTGAACACTTAGCAAGAAGGGAAAATTGTGGGAGGAGCGTATCTGGGGCAGGTGGATCAGAGGGTTTTTCCTGCACACTTAAATCTGAGATAACTACTAGGCATCCAGTTGTATATACCAAGTAGCAGTTGATTATATAGGCATGTAATTCAGGGGAAATTTAAGAATTTAAGAATTTAAGAATTTACCAGCATTTAGTAGGGCAGACAGAGAAAGGTGCATAAGGAGTGAGCCCCGGGATTCTCCAGCTATAGAGGTAAGAGATGTAGACTGTCCAGTGAGGTAGAATGGAGTATATTCCTTATTAAAAAAACAGCTTCACTGAGATACAATTCACATATAATTCACCCACATAAAGTGTAGAGTTCAGTGATTTTTAGTATAGATTTGCACAACTATCACCACAATGAAACTTGAACACTTTCATTACCCCAAAAAGAAACCCTTTACCCATTAGTGGTCACTCCACGTTTATCCTGAGATCTCCCATTGTGGGAAACCTCATCCTAGGCGCCACTAGTCTATTTTCCATTTTGATAGGTCTGCCTATTTTGGACATTTTACATAAATGGAATCATATGATATGGAGTCTTTTGTAACTTTTCTTTTACTTAGTATGTGTTCAAGATTCATTCATGTTGTAGCCTGTACCCAAACCTCATTCTGTTTCATTGCTGAATGATGTTCCAGTGTACAGACAGACCATATTTTACTTTTCTATTCATTAGTATATGAACATTTGGCTTATTTCTACCTTTTGGCTGTTGTGAATAGTGCTGCCATGAACCTTCATGTATGTTTCTGTTTGAACATCTGTTTTCAATTATTTTGGGTATATATATCAAGAAGTTGATTACTCAATCATGTGGTAATGCCATGTCTAACTTACGGAGGTCTACCAAACTATTTTCCAAAGCAGCCGCACCATTTTATAACCCCATCAGCAACATATGAGGGCTCCAATTTTTCCACATCCCCACAAACACTTGCTATTGTCTGGTTTTTGTTTGTTTGTTTGTTTTTGAATTTTAGCCATCTTAGTGGGTGCGAAGTGGTAACTCATTACAGTTTTGGTTTGCATTTCCTTAAGGACTCACGGTAAGCATTTTACGCTTATTGGCCATTACATGTTTTTACTTTTCTTTGAGGCACTTTTTGTTACACAGAGATTTTAAATTCAAATGTAGTTTTGATTTAAATAAGGACAGAGGAATATGTATAACATCATATTTTAAGAGTCAAGAGGAATTTTCCAAAAGTAAGTGGTGCTAAAATATAAATACATTTTTAATGTTTATTAAAATAAGTACAACCCAGTCGGTAACTTTTTGATATTTCAAACCTTGGGATATTCTTACGAACATTGCACTTACCATGAAGAGCTCCTCTGGGGGTTTATTTCCATCTAGTTCAATGAGATACTGGGAATTGTGTTCAGCCATTACTTCCTGCAGAAAATAGAAACCTTATGGTCCAGGATCATTGGCAAAACCGAACATAAGATCAGAATCTTAACATATTATGAAGAAATCTTTAAAACTAAATTGTTTGCTTTATACGTGATATAATGTATATTATTTTAAGTGCTTTTTTGAAAAACACTAAATTAGTCTTCTTATCATGAATTTTATTCTCTTTCTGATTTTTTTCTTTTCAGTTTTTCTTTACATTGATGTTTTAGAGTCCTTCCAAATAGAAAATGTTCTGGGGCATCTATCTCTCTGCATATATTCATAGAATAATTTCTATCAATCTGATAACTGAAAATGAGATTGGTTTGTTTTACTTTTTATTCCCCCTAGCTATGGGTAAGGTTTGATATTTAGATATCCATCTCTGTACACTGGCTAACCATAACATCTGTGCGTTTTTTTATCAGATTGTTTCTTTTCCCTAAAATTCATGGAAAGTCTTTAAGCTATATCAATTGCAAATATTTTACCATTAATGATAAAAAACATTTATCTTTTTGACTTTATGTAATCTTCTATAATATAAAACATTTTTATAATAAAATATATCCATTTTCATTGTTTCTGGATTTCCTTTCTTGCTTAAATTACATTTTCTCTATCTCAAGATTATATTAATATTCTTCTAAATTTTCTTCCACTATTTTTTGTTTTTAATATTAAAATCTAAAATCCACTGGATTTTGTTTTTGTACATTGCAAATGTTGAACTCTATTTGAACCCTGTATCCCCAGAAAGTAGGGAGGGTTGAGAGATAAGACCCATCTCTACCCTTCCTCAAGGATTCAGATAAGATCTGTCTTCATCCTTTTCCACCATTCCCTAAGACTTGAGGATGTCTCCCTTGTTTACCTGCCTCCATAAAACCCCTAAGTCCCCCTTCCTTTTCCTTGAGATATTTCTTAGTAGTGAATGTTCTCCCTATTAAAATAGTCTGAACAAAATCATCTTAATTGTCCAGAGCATTTTGTTTTTTACAATATTATGTGAGGTTGGGCTCTATTCCGGTGAATAGTTTTCTAACTTTCTGAACCTTATTTTAATTATGCTTTATTTCCCCCTCAAGGCTATCCACTTAAGGAGTTTGCAGGATATTTCTGTTTGAAGGAAGTAGAACATTATAGATAGATATGCAAAGTACTCTTAAGAAGCTATGTTTAAAGGCCAGGAATAGAAGAAGAGGTAAGGAGCAATAAAAGTCATACATAAGAAAGAAATTAAATTTGGCTCCCCTCTTGGGGGCAAACAATGAGAATGAAAATGATCCACTCATTAGTCTATAAAAAATATAAGCTTTATAAAAGAACATGAAACAAATCCTTTTAGTTTCTCTATCAGAATGGAAGAGGCAACTTGAGGACTGTTTTTTGTCTTTGTAGTTCCATTGCTCAGCATGGTGTGTGACCAAATACCCAAGTCTGGTAAATGTTTGTTGAATAAATCTCCAACACAAATTTGGCAGAGTCTGCCCTGGACTTTTGATCGTATAAAATATGCTTTTCACATAATTGTAACTTTAGTAATATTTTTAAAATGTTAATTATTTTAATTAAAACCTTCCTATTCCAATATGTAATGGCCTTAATCATGTTTGCATATAATCAGCTTTGAATGGGAAAACCATAGAAACCAATCTGGGGATAATTCTGTAGATTGCAATTTAAATAAATTAACAATTCCTTTTAGAATAAAAGATGTGTCTTAAATGCACATTTGTTTTGATAAACCAATAAATTATGGATTGAAAATGTTTTTACAAAATAGTCTCTTAACATGGGTTTTCCAACCTCCAACCATAAATAAATACCTCTACTGACTTTTGAAAAATGTAGTTTATCACTTTTCAACAATACTGCAGCTTTTTGTTTTTTTTATTATTTTTTTAAGAATTTATTTATTTATTTGACAGACAGAGATCACAAGTAGGCAGAGAGGCAGGCAGAGAGAGAGAGGAGGAAGCAGGCTCCCCGCTGAGCAGAGAGCCCGACTCGGGGCTCGGGGCTCAATTCCAGGACCTTTAGATCATGACCTGAGCCGAAGGCAGAGGCTTAACCCACTGAGCCACCCAGGCGCTCCTACGGCAGCTTTTTAAAAAGTCAACTAATACGGTTCTGTAAAACAGCCTTTGGAATGGAAGTCTTATTCTAACAGCATTTTATCAAAATTAAGTAGTGGAGAATCAGATAATATAGAGGATGAAAAATGTGAAAGCTGTTTAACCAGTGAGAGAACACAAATATCAATATTTCTATTTTTAACAATATATCTAGTTCTTACTTCTAAAGGATGAAGAATTATTTCCTTATAAAGTTTAACAATGTTTTCAATATTTTCCAAATAATCCTCAGGTCTCTGAACTATATGTTGAAGAATTTCAGCCACCATCTGCATTTCTGCAATAAATGCCTAAATGGAAAAAAAGAGATTTTCAAAATCTTTATCTTCATGATTACTTAATTTACAAGCCACACCTCTCTCTCATTACATCTACATGCCTAAAGATGAATGAGAAGCAGATAGAAGGGAGAGTGAGGATTTTTATTTAAGATACACTGAATGCCCCAAGGGTGAAAGTAAGATTGAGTCCAGCATAGTTGAAGATTAGCTGGAAGGCCAATGGAGCAGCTGGAACACAGCGAGCAAGCAAGGCAAGACAGTCAGGGATGAGATCAGTGAGACCAGGTCTATGGCCTTTCAAATTATATGAGGGTGTTTGAATTTTCATCTACAGGTAATAGAAAGTCACTAAGGGTCATATTTTTAAAACATGGCTCTGGCTTTTGTAAAGAATGGAATGGGGATGGAGAGGAAAGTGGAAGCCAAGAGAACATATACAAAGCTATTATAGCAGTTTAGGGAGATTAACAGTTGTGTGTATATAAGGGTGAACAGTTTCATGAAATTATTGGCCATCAACCCAAGTGGGTGATATGTTTGCATGCCTGACTTCTAAACATGGCTGTGCTACTTGGCAGACATCACAGCAAACCAGGCCCAGGAGGTTGAATTCAGTTTGAAGACATTAATTTGATTAAATCCCATAACATTGGCCTATACTTTCAAAATTTTGAAATTTTGGATTAGTTGCCAACTACTTTTAAAATGCTAATTTTGGCTTCTTTGGAAAAATCAGACTACCTGGTAAAAATAGACTAGCATTCCCACATGGCAAGAGTTGGCTGGGCTGGAGCTGAGAGGCAGCTGTCCTCTGAAGAAGCACATATACTCACTCGCTGTCCAGTGGAACTTTCTGCAGTGATGGAAGTGTTGTGTATCTGTGCTGTCCAGTTTGGAAGACGCAGCCATATTTGGTCATGAGCACTTGAAATGTGGCTAGTACTACTGAGGAACTAAATTTTAAATTTTATATAATTTTAATGAATTTAAAGTTAAAGAGCCACATAGAACTCTCTGTTGCTATGAAATGAGGCAGCTTAGCTGTCAGGATGTGGAAGGACTTCCATACTGACAAGAAGGTTAAACTTGATGGCCTCTAGATTATGATCTAATAGTTCTTGGAAACGTGAAATATTTGTTCTATTCCCCCAGATTAAATAAAAATTTAAAATGTAATTTTCCCTAGTATCTTCTATTTTCTTTATCCATGCTATTATTTAATTTAATTTTAGCAAATTTTAAAAGTGTAATATATGATACTGGGAAATTACCTCTTCTTCTTCTTGCTCTTCCTCCTCTTCCCCTTCCTCTTCTACTTTTCCTTCTTTTTGGGCTTCTTTCCTTCTTTTCCTACGATTCTCAATGACTTCCGGATCCCACTGATCTCTTCTGTAGATGTACCCTGTACCACCGTGCTGCCTTTGCCCAGAAACTCTTTGGCATAGATCGTAGTCAGGGCACTACGGAACAACATTAGTAATTTTAACAAGCATCCTCAGTGATTCTGATGCCAACAGTTCAGGCACCACACTTTGAGAAACAACACTTTAGGACCTTCCTTGCTCATGTTCGGATTTCTTTAGGCCAACTCTATGTGGAGTTAGATGGGATGGGTATTTACTGAGGCAAGACTTATTTAGGCTTCCTAATTCATTAGGCTTCCTAATTCACAAGAAAGATTTCAACCCTCTCAAGTCATTTTTATAATGTGTGTTTGCCCTTCCTTATTCAGCAACCCAGAATACCCACACTGTAGGGACTCATATGAGAGTGAGTCTGAAGGACATGCCTCAGAGCAGTGGTCCTCTTGGTCCACTTCAGTGGGCATCAAGAGTTATGTGAAGGGCTTTTCAACACAGATAGCTGGATAACCCCTTCTTGTTACCCCTCAAGTTTCTGAGTCATAGTTCTGGGGTGGGCCCTAAGAATATGTATTCCTAACAAACTTCTGAGTGCTGCTGTTGCAGTTGGCTCTGGGACAGTACTCTGAGAACCACTGCTGTAGTAGATCTGGTCCTGGCCTGTAATTATTATTTTATTTTATTTTAAGTACAGACCCCTTTAGAATATGAGGAAAGCTATTGACTTTTGCTTCAGAAAAACAGATATACACAATAAAATAATTTCAGAAGGTTCACAGATGTTTAAGGATTCCTGGATTCTAGGCTAAGAGCTTCTGCTCTAGAAATTCCAAGATTTAGCCCCAAATAAGGCCAAACCACCAGAGAAATGTGTGTTGTATTGAATTCTGTTTCACATTAGGCCCTCTGATTATACTTAAGTCAATGTGTAGAAACCACCTGGATACCCACTACCACATTTATAATATAAATGAGATTAAGGGCTTTATTCTCTACATTGATGATATATCTTTTTTAATTTAATTTTATTTATTTAACAGGCAGAGAGAGAGAGAGAGAGAGAGCGCACAAGGAAGCAGAGTGGCAGGCAGAGGGAGAGGGAGAAGAATACTCCCCGCTGAGCAGAGAGCCCCATGCCAGGCTCGATCCCAGGACCCTGGGATCATGACCCAGCAGAAGGCAGCCACTTAACCTACTTGAGCCACCCAGGCACCCCTACATTGATGATATTTATACTAAGACCCATGTAAGATATTTCTCTCACTTAAAATCTTAATTCTAATTTCTCTCATTTTGTTTTTTCTGAGGAATGTCTCATCTTTTCATGGACAATGTGAATTTTATGTAAGCGATCACATTTCCCCTTCTATTTTTGCTCATCAAACTCAGAAGCAAATTTATGCCCCAAATTAGTAAGCGTTTGGAGGCTAATGGCCTGTGTGTCTGTACTTTTATTCCACCAAGTGTTAATTTCCTATACAATCTATGTTTTCCATGGCTTGAACTTTATATTTGGTTTTAGTTAATTGTTTGAGATCTTTTCTTCTCTCCCTTTCACACGTGTGACATTCTCAAGGTCCGTGCAGGGATTTTGATTGGTCTCCAACATCCTGTGGCGGGCTGTAGATGACACCACGCCCAGCACCGCAACACCTCCTCTCTCTCACAGTTAACCCTAACACACTCCCAGGTGCCAGCATCTGCGCTGAGAATCATCTCATTTACTTTGAGCTGTCAAACCCTTTGGAGAATCAGGCAGATATGGATATAAAAGCTTATCGTTAATTTTCATATAAACAAGCAGATCTGGACTTCCTGAATTCTTGTCATACCTCCATGAGGCAGTTATTTTTGTAAAGAGGCAATTGTGTCTTCTAAATGTCATCTACCATATGCTGTTGATAGAGGAGAGATTGGGAACAGGATCCAGTCTTGATTCTTAATCAATCTAGCAATGTTTTTTAACAATCATATGTCCAACTTATTTGCTCCTTCTTTCGTTTTATTTAACTGACAGACTTATCAGGTGTCTGTTAGATACTATATATTGTGTTAGTTGATGTTTATATGAGTAAGACATGGTTTTTGCCTTCATACAAGGCAGAGTCCAGAAGGAAAATGGGCAATTACAATATATAATAAGGTAATACTATAGAAGAGAGCAACATGAATGGTCATCAGAAAAGTATTCAACTTTTCTGTAGTAAGTAACGTATAGGGGATAAGGAGGAAGAGAAAAGGAGAGGAGGAGAGAGAGAAAAGGAGAAAGTGAGAGTGAGAGAGAATGAGAGAGTTAGTTGGTGTGTTGATGTGGAAGAGGGGGTCATCAGGGAAAGAGATGATGTCTGAAATGACTTTCAGAGGATGACTATGTTGAAGACTGTTGAAGAGGCAGAGGGATTTCTTGTGGATGGAGCTGCAGGTGCAGAAGCACAGAAGTATCAGAAAGTATAACTCAGTAGTCCCTATGGTTGACATATGTTATCATTTCCTTAACTACTTAATATATTTTTAAGATTTTATTCATTTATTTGAGACAGAGAGAGGGAGAGAAGCAGACTCCCCACTCAGTGCAGAGCCCAACTCGGGGCTCCATTTCCAAGACCCTGAAATCATGACCTGAGATGAAGGCAGATGTTTAACAGACTGAGCCCCTCAGGAGTCCCATTAATATTCTTGCAGACATGCCTTGAATTCCACTACTATCAAAAAGAATGATTAACTATAGTAACGAAACAACTAATATTCTTACCTTAATATTGATTATAATATCAGGTTTCAAATTTAAATTTTTAATTAATTCTATTTGATGCAAAGTAGTCATGGCATCCTCTGAAAGAGTTGGTAGTTCAGTGATAACATAACCTGTTGAGTAAAATATATAATTTTAAAAGTTTTATAATATTATCAATGTATGAGAGCATTGACTCGTTATTGCTTTATAAGATGTCATTTGCTTATGGATGAAAAGATTAATGTAGATCTTAAAATCTTCAAATATTTTCAATTAATTGTTAGGTTTATTGCCACATGAAGCATAATTATGAATACTGTTTTTTTTTATCATAAATAAAATCACTGAGCTAGGAGGAGACATCTTTAAAAATTCTAAATCAATTTACTTTAAGCATATGAGGTGTCTAGGAGAGAAAATCCATGATAATAATTCTTTGAACATTAGGAAAGCTGTAAAGGTATATTATAGAGGGTGTATAGTATATTATTTTCCTTCTAAAGCTAATATTTTATGATAGAATATGTATATATATAGTGTTTATATAAATATGGGGAGTAACAAAACACCCATGTTCTCCCCATACTGTTTAAAAAACGAACATTTTCAATATGATTTTGGCTTAGCACATTATCTTGCATTCCCACCCAGAAACCTGAATCTGCTCATTGAAATCCACCCCATTTGCCATCATCACATTAATTTCCTTAATATATTTCTTTTGCGTGAGAAAATTTTCTCTTATTATTATTCTCAATTCCCTCAGAATTAAAGACATCAATTTTTCTACTATTTTAATAGGAACTTTTTTTCTTGAAAGAACTGACAGACAAATTGTGGTTATTCGGTTTTGGGTATTTGGCAGACATTTTATAAAAAGTGAGTGGAGTGAGCTGGTCACTTCAAGGACAACTGACAGTATTTGTTCCAATGATAAAATTCCAGCAAAAATTCAAATTTTAGAAAGAGTGTACCTACTGCCATAAGCTTAACAACTTCCCAAAATTTAGAGCTTTTCTTAATGAAATTGGTGGCAAAATTAATAAAAGTGATTTTTTGATAGTGTATAATAAAAAGTATCAACATTTGGAAAACCTGCACAACTTAGTGAGTCAATATTTTCCAAAATAACCACTGCATGGTGCCTCCAAGTCATGCATGGATAGAAGACCTAGTCCAAGTTCAAGATAGACAAATGGATTTTATGGAATAGAGTTTGAAAAGTCCTCCATGTGGTTTCAGATTCTACAATGCAAATAACTTTTAAGAAAATTCCCCTCAGTGAGTTTTAATGTAGGATCAAGAATAGTCACAATTATTCTAAAGACTATTAAAATATACTTCCCCTTTCTAACTACATATTTGTGTAAAGCTGGATTTTCCTCATATATTTCAATAAAAACAATATACTGCAACAGATTGAGCAATAGGAGATATGAGAATCCAGTCGGGTCTTCTCTTAAGCCAGATATTACAGAGGTTTGCAAAGATGAAAAATAATACCCAGGACCCTGAGATAGAGGCCTTAACCACTGAGCCACTCAAGTGCCCCTATTTTCTTCTTTTAAAGAAATGTTTTGGGGCACCTGGCTGGCTCAGTGGGTTAAAGAAAGCCTCTGCCTTCGGCTCAGGTCATGATCCCAGGGTCCTGGGATCGGGCCCCACATCGGGCTCTCTGCTCTGCAGGGACCCTGCTTCCTCCTCTCTCTCTCTGCCTGCCTCTCTGCCTACTTGTGATCTCTGTCTGTCAAATAAATAAATAAAATCTTAAAAAAAAAAAAAGAAATGTTTTAAACATTTCTTAGTTTCAATTTCTAATATGATAAATACTGATAGATATAACCCAAGTAAGCAAAAGCTCTTTTGGGGCCTCAACAATCTTTATAAGTATAAAGGAGTCTTGAGACTAAAAAGTTTGAGAACTGCTATCCCATGCAATGCATAGAATAGTATGATTTTAAAAAGTTATTAAGTTTCTGTTGAGAGATGAATAAATTAATGTGTCTAATAAGCCAATCTCAAAATTCTCTTTAGAATATGCTTAAAACATGCATATTATTATTATCTTTTTATTTTATAAAAGCAGACCAACAACTACCATAGTAATTCCAAAATCTCATCAAATCCTTAGGCATTTCTCCTAAACTTTTTCAAACACTTTACCATCTGCTAACTACATGCTGGATGCAATCCCAAGTAGTTTAATTTCAAAAGGCCAAAAGGGAGACCTATTATCTTTGGTTTGGGATATATGAACTATAATCATGATTCTCTCCTGTCTTGCTATAACATTTCGTTTCCAACTCTGCCTATTCTTTTGCTTTTGCTCTTGTCTTTGAAAGACTTTGAAATACTGGTGGTATCCTAAGGCATCCATTCTATTCAAGGTTCCTTAAATGAACCCAACAACCCCCCGCAAAAATTTAGCCACCACATGCATTGGCCTTGTCTCAGGAACTGGGCCAGACCTTTCTCTACTTACCGCCTCCTGCTGCTCTTGCTTTTTTTCCCTTGGCTTCCTACTTCCTTAGTTTGGTTTGGATCTTATTGTTAAATTATCCTTCATTTGATTAACAACCTTATTGGAAACTTGTCAAGACGTTGGGATGTGATGGCTGGCATTAACCTCCTGGTTTAAGGGTGAGTATTGTGGTGCAGTGGCCTGGTCCTAGACTGAATGCAACCCTTGCCCAGTTCACCCCTTCTGACTGGACATTTCCAGAGACCATCAGTCTCCAGAATTCATGCCTTCCCCTTCCAAGCAACAGGGGATTACACAGTACCTTCCTCTCATTCCCTCTACTGGCAGCACGGCCCACCATCTGTGTATTACAAAGGGATGACAGCAAGATGTTTGGCATTCTGTATGCTGTGCTCTCCAGGACCCTGTATATTACTACAGTCACTGCTACTGAGGGGACAGCTTATCACACAATTCAAGTACAACTGTTTGTAGATATCCTAAACCTCAGGCATACATGTGGACTGGAATGAGTTTAAAACTTGGTCTCTTTCCTAGTGGAAGCAGCAGAAGAGTGGGTTGCTTCCATGGAGTCTGGTTCTCAGCTGACAGGCCAGTATTTGGGCGGCCTGAATTTTCTGAGTGATGAGTTTTAGGGTCTTACCCATTGAGAGGTGGCCAGTATCATCACACCCAGGCCCTAGGAACATGTGTATGGAAGAGATGTGGGAGAGTCGAAGAGCTTAGTTCTCTAGACCCAATTCTGGATACTTACAAGGATATTTCCTCATAGACAGATCAGAGCTGCCAAGCCCACTGCCAGCCTTTCTAACCCCAGAGACATGTGTGAAGATGGAAGCATAGATGAGGACTTCCCCTCTCTGTCCCATATCTCCTTGATACCATTGCCAAGCCCCTACCTTCAATGCTGAAGATGGAAGAGTGGTAGACCTCCTGCCACTCCTTGCTGCGAGGCTCTGTTTGTACCAGCATTGGCAGAGTAGATGCGCTGCAGGCTAGTGTTCAGCCTGTATCAACCCCACCAGGGAGAAACTGAAATACTGTCCATATGACTGCCCAGGGGTAACTACTTGGTCCATGCCATCCCTTTACCCCCACTTTCTGGTACAGTGGAATGAATTCCTATTTCCACCACACTGAAGATGGCATGCCACTGCTTTCAGATTGAAGTGATGAGAGATTCAGAGATATTAAGTAGTTTATGTTCATCCAGCCCTAATAGGTACCTGACCTCATGCCAGCCTGATCTAAGTGGATATACTGGTGACCAATGACTTACGAGACCATCCACAATGGGATATGTTGGGGACAGGGAATGCCCAGACTAGGGCTGTCCATCATTACTGGAGAAAGTGAGTTTTTCTGGAATCTAGAAACAGGAAGCAAAGAGAGACTTCTCAGGATGCCTAGGCATTGGCTCTATCTTTTCCTCTTGGGTAAGGATGTAGTTCATGGAAGCAGATTTGGGCCAAAAGCCAACAAAGCATGACAGGTTGTGAATGAAAGGATTGTAATTACAGATTGTGTAAGTTATTTCTAAATAGTGATAGAAAGGTTCAACTGTAAAAGGGCTCTGGTAGAGAAAAAAATTAAGATTGAATTTGGCAATATTCTGTGGTGCAGTGTCCCCAGCAGCACACATCTGTCTTTAGGGATTTTAGTGCCATCAGTTACCTAGCCTCACCCAGACCTGACCCAAGTTAATGCCCCTGTTTTGAAAGCTCCTCACTTCCAATTTCGCTCCTACCATCTACCAGGCTGGTGGGTAGGACCAAACATCAGAAAGACTCCTTGATGAGCAAAGACTTTTAAACTGCATTTAGCAAGATGCTAGGTTCCACAGAAATTCCTCTGGGGATGCCATAGAATAGGTGGGGGGAGTTTGGGCAGAAGGAGTTCTAGGTCCCGTCCCCACTAGAGCCCTTAAAAAGCCCAGTTGTGCATACCTAAAACACAGCCATGCAATTGCATGTTAATAGTGTGGCCCTCAGACTCAAGAAATCATTTATACTGCTTTTCCTCTGCTACCTCCCAGAGCAAGCATCAGTGTAGAGCAAGTCTAGGGGAAAGAGGAATACATTAAATGATTTGAAGGGATGCCAGTCAGCAAGGTCCAAAATGTAGGAAATTCTTAAACACAGATAACTTAAACACAGATAACTTGCTTTTTCAACAAAGAGAGCGCAAGATGATAGAAGGAGGTAGAGGGAATTTATAGATTAAAAGGGACTTGAGACATACTAACCGATTGCTATATGTGAAACCTGGTTAGGTCCTTCCAAAAAAAAAAAAAAAAAAACTAAGCAAACAAAACGAACAAACAACAACACACACACAAATAAAACAAAAAAAAGTCCAAAAACAAACAAACAAAAAATAAAACCCAAAAACAGAAAACCAAAAAACAAAACCCAAAAATCAGCTAGGAAAAAAAAAAATACACAAGGCAAATAATGAAATCTGACCACAGAGTGGTCAGTAGATGATTTACTATTAATTTTAGTAGGCATGATAATGTAATGTGATGCTAGATTTAAAAATATTCCTTACCTTTTTGAAATATATACTAAAACATTTACAGATGAACTGATATGATATGAATTAGCTTCAAAATAAAGTAGGTTAGTAGAGGAATGTGGACAGGAGGTCACATAAAACAAGATGAGACAAGAGTTGTCATCGAAGCTGGGTGAGGGACACATGGGGGTTTTACATCACTTTTACTTTTGTTTGAAATCTTCCACAAGAAGAAGTTAAAAAGATTCTGAACATCATGAATGGCATAACTGAGTAGGTTTATTTTTTCATTATTTATTCTCTTTTTGCCTATATTTATCATTTATACCATGTTTTGGGGGGTAAATTACTCTAAATTTTTCAAGAGGTAAGGGGAGATAAAATATAAACAAGGTGATAGCTGCCTGCCTATGCATATACAGGCCTCAGCTTCAATCACTATGCTTTTGGAGGGCATTTATGGACCTATGTTGGAATTCTGTCATTGTCCTTTTTACTCATTTAACCTCCTACGTTCTGGATGTTTTCCCAAGCTCAACTTCTTTATCACTGATCACTAGTTAGAAGACTGATGTGTAGACAAAGTATATGTATATATATATATAAAACAACATATATAATAGATGATATTTTTCTATACGTGGGTGGATAGATGTAGTTTGTTCTGTATATCATCCACGTGTAGAGAAATCTTTCTACCTGTAGATGTAAATGATACAGACATAGTTTGCAGGGTCGTCTGCTTTTGCTACTTCCATTATTGACTTGCTTTGGCAATCATGATTTTTACTTTACTGCATTTTATTTTTATCCCTATATTCTTTTTTTAAATTTAATTTTATTTTTCCAGTGTTTCAAGATTCATTGTTTATGCACCCAGTGCTCTATCCCTATATTCTTAAGAGTCACAACGTCTCTCCTAACTTACTAATGATATAGAGCAGCATGCTAAGTTTTTCTTCTTTAATTCAATAAATCTATTTCGGGTGGGTGATTTTCTCCCCAGCCCATCTTCTTTTTCCTTCTTTTGCAAATGTCATAGGGTATGCTCTTTTCTATTTAGTCGTTCTAAGCTTCAGTAGTCTTTGTCTTGAGAAATGAGGCCCCAAACCCCTGCTCAGCATTTGTTGGAGTGCAGGGAGACTTCTTGGGTCCAGAGTGAGAGGGTGGACTGGGTGAACAGACCGAAGCCTGCCAATATCTGGAGCAGGAGGGTAAGCTGCCACCAGTCAAGAAATTCCTGCCTTATAAGTGCAGATTAATGCAAAGAAGGCCGACAGGACTCAGTAATAAAACTCCGAGTGAATGGGAAAGCAGTCAGCAGAGGCTGTCTGCACTGTAAGGACCATGGGAGAGTGTCGATCCCTTCCTGGATAACACAGTGCTCAAAGAAGATGGAACCATTTAAATTTATTTATTTGTTTACAAGTGTAGAGTCTGAAAAATAAAAGGAAGTAAACAAAAATATGTAAGCTGCGGGCGCCTGGGTGGCTCAGTGGGTTAAAGCCTCTGCCTTTGGCTCAGGTCATGAGCTCAAGGTCCTGGGATCCAGCCCCGCATCAGGCTCTCTGCTCAGCAGGGAGCCTGCTTCCCTTCCTCTCTCTCTGCCTCTCTGCCTACTTGTGAGATCTCTGTCTGTCAAATAAAAAAATAAAATCTTAAAAAAAAAATACCTAAGCTGCTTAACGAATTCAGGCTCTGGAATTCTTACTTCAGGGCAAAGGAAACAGCAACTCCAGATATTATGTGTGCCTCAACTAAAGCATGAGTTTTAAGGCTGCTTTGATAGCCACCGATTTATAAAAACAAACATACCAAAGTGAGAAACTTGCAGAGAGTTGAGCTTCTCCAACATTAGCTTTATGATAAGTTCTTCGGGAATGCTTTGACCACTGAGCAGTATTGACTGCAACTAAGAACCAACAAAGATAGTGTATATTAGTGTATATACCTCTGTGATACAGAGCTTTTTTTTTTTTTTAAATCATAATAATTTTGACACTTAGATTTACCATAACTCCTGATTCAGTTTCCCTGGCAATCTGTTCTTCCAACATTGGTAAAGCTAAAATATGAATTCAAAATATTAGCACAAGCTGATATTAGAATTGCCAAATTAAGAAACATATTTGTGTTTTATAATGGTAACAAAGATTAATATTTGCATATCACTTTAAGAGTTTACAAAGCACATTTATACACATTATGTCACTTAAGCTAACCAAAGCATGAGGCAGCAGAATGTATTCCGCAAAGAACTTGTCTCTGCTACTCTCTAGCTAAAAGATCTTGAGGAAGCTAACTTCTTAAATACCTCTGGGCCTTGCACGCTTATCCCCTGTATAGCACAGAAGAGAATGTGAGGCTGAAATGACGCTGTGTACGGGACAGTGATTTGGAATTGTAAAGTGTCACTCAAAATTATACACAAAGTATTATTAGTCTATATACTTTTATAACCATAGAGTTATATCCAGAGCCCATTAACTTTGCTCTCTGATTAAATGAAAGGAATATGCATCAAGAAATGTAAAAATAGGTAAACACTGATTAGAAAAAGGGGGCCTGAAGCTGGAATTCCAATGATTTTTTTTTTTTTTTTTTTTTAAGAGGAAATATTCCATCCCTTATGGACAACATCCTGGGACAGAAGTGATAGGCACAAGACCTAGGGGAGGACTCAGGAACTGAATTAAGTCCCTCATTGCTAGTCATCTATGCTTGTTCTCCCCCAAATTGTACCAGATTGCAATTTTACTAACAGCACATGGAATCAACATTTCATAACATTCTAGCCAAAAATAATTATAAAAACTTTAAAGGTTCCTTGTCAATTTGACAGGCAAATATGGATCAGTGTTTTTTATTTTAAGATTTTATTTATTTATTTGACAGAGACATAGCGAGAGAGAAAGAACACAAGCAGGGGGAGTAGGAGAGGGAGAAGCAGGCTTCCCGGTGAGCAGAGAGCCCCATATGGGGCTTGATCCCAGGACCCTGGGATCATGACCTGAGCCAAAGGCAACTGCTTAAGGACTGAGCCACCCAGCACCTCGGATCAGTGTTATTTTAATTAGCATTTCTTTGAATAACAATTTCTTTGAATACCAACTTTTTTCTTATATTTGTCTGTTTTTATTTCTACTTTTATGAATTGACAATTCACTCTTTTGCTTATTTTTCTATTAGGACAAAAATAGTTTTATTGATTAAAAGAATATTTTATATAAAGATAGCAGTCCTCATCTTATATACTGCAAAGAATGCAAAGCAAAATAATAAAAAATAAAATTTATCATTGAAAATAATTATGTCTTGGGGTGCCTGGGTGGCTCAGTAGGTTAAGCATCTGCCTTTGGCTTAGGTCATGATCCCAGGACTCTGGGATTGAGCCCTGCATCCAGCTCACTGCTCAGTGGGGAACTTGGTTCTCCCTCTCCCTCTGCTCTTCCCTGCCCCCACCTTGTGCTCTCTCTCTCTCTCTCTCTCTCTCTCAGATAAATAAATAAAATCATAAAAAATAATTAAGTCTTGAAAAATGCTCTTAGGAACAGCTGTGAGAGTTTCTTTTCTTCTCATCTTTCATAGGGAGATATCCAAAACATATGTCTCCAGCAGTTCTAAATGAGAGAATTAGAGAATTGGAGGCCATAGAATGAAGTCAGACATTCCATACACCCTCCTAACTTCTATGAACAAAACTAAGACTAACTGAAAAGCAGAAATAAGCTTGATGCTATCATGAAGATAACATTCACTAAGTTGGTAGTGATGTGTGATAAATTACAGCAAAATGTTAATCACAGAATCTAGATGGTATAATTCTTCACATTTTTATGCATATTTGAAAGTTTTTATAATAAAATATTGGGGGGAAAGGTAAAATTTACCTTCTACACGAATACATTTCCATGTCTGTGCTATCTGATGAGCTAACGTTGTCTTCCCAACCCCCTTAAAAAGAAAGATGTTATTTAAAACCCACAGGCATTTGCCAGTGAAACAGATATTCTCATTTTAAAAGACTCTATTGATGGTTACAATACATGAATATTATCAAGTGAATTTTTTGTCCACAAAAATTAATGAATAGTAGACTCTACATATTTATAGCTTAATTTTTCTTTAGTTATTGTCACATTTGCCACATTTTTTGAAGGGATTTAAATAACCTTTTTTAAATTAAGAAAATAACCCTGAAATCAGGCAGCTGTACCATTATGGCATTCCAGGTACTGTCCTCTTTTGACTGCCAAATTTTGTAATTTTGAATACATATCATTGTGATTATATTGAAATCCATCACTGTATCTCTTTTCTAAAGTTTTTAGTCATGACTGTTTTGACAGACTTCCACTTAGTAACTTCCAAGAACAAAAAATTCCCACTTAATGGACATCTTTGAAAAGTATAATATTTTCAAGACGATAGATCACTTTAATGTAGTAACATTTGCATCTGAGTGCTCTCACTGTTGACTTTTATTTTAAACATTTTAAAACTTAAATTTAGTTGATTAACATATAATGTATTTTTTGTTTCAGAGGTACAGGTCTGTGATTCATCAGTCTTACATAATACCTAGTGCTCATTTTATCACATACTCTCCTTAAGGACCATCACCCAGTAACCCCATCCCTCTACCCACCTCCCTTCCAACAACCCTCAGTTTGTTTCCTATGATTAAGAGTCTCTTATGGTTTGTCTCCCTCTCTGGTTTCATCTTGTTTTATTTTTTCCACTCTTCCCCTCTGATCCTCTGTTTTGTTTCTTACATTCAACGTATTGGTGAGATCATATGGCAGTTGTCTTTCTCTGATTGACTTATTTTGCTTAGCATAATACCTGCTAGTTCCATACATGTTCACTCTTGACTTATGAAACTCTACTGAATGTTAAAAAACATAATGAAAGTTACTGGAACCATTTCTTGGGACCTGTCCCAGGGTCTGTATAAAATTAAATCAAGGGTGGGATCCAGCCCTTAGTATCTGCTGTTCTGGAGAGGCCGTTTAATGCACCAGTTCAGGCTCTCTAATGGTAACGACCAACTAGTTCAATGGCTGAAAATACTGCTCATTTAGAGGTCCTTACTAGAAATGCCTAGTAAGGCAGGATACCTTGTGTCATCCATTTTGGTTTCTTTTTATTTTGTGGAAAGACAATACATAGGTCCGTGAACACAATGCAAAGGTAAAACACATTGCCTCTCAGTATCTTCAGATATTAATGGGAGAGCCCCAGTTTGTCTCCATAGTGTCCTGTCTTCATATACGTAGAGAGCTTCATAACAAATTTCACAGAAAGTTTTATAAGCAAATTATGTTTGAAATAACTTTGGATCACAGACTACTAACAATTGTCATGGTGCAATGCTTTGATGAATTCTATTTCTTCAAATTGTAAAAACAAAGATAAGTACAATGTAGGTTCTTTTTCAATTAGAGTGTACAGGACAAGATAAAGTTAAGAACTTACAACCAATATTATATCAGTTTTTAAAGTCATACAATGAAAGTCTAATACTCGAAAAAATTAGCACATTATGTGGTTTTCATTCTTGTATGGTAACATAATGTTATGATTTTAAAAATAAAAAAATAGAGTAAATAATAAGTTAGGAAAGATAACTTACCGGTTTCCCAAATATAACAAAGCAAACAGGTTTAGACAGCAAAAAGTTATATTCAGCTTCATCTTCGCTAAATATATCCGCAAATGAATGCTCTTCTGTCTCCTCTTGAGAATTCATAATATAAACTACTATGGTAAGAAAGAATAAAATTGTCAGTGATTAATTTAGTTAGAAGAGGCAGGCAGGTGAGGGAGAATGAGACTATCCTGAGAATTTACTTAGCCTAAAAGACATTCCACATCACTAAACACAAGGATTTTGCTGAGATTCACAAATAAGTTAAACTTATCTATTAAAACAATAATAGGCTCTTAGTTTGAAATAAAAAGCAAAATCTAACTATATATTGTACAAAAGACAGGTAAAATGAAGTGTTTCTGCAAGACTAAATTAAGGAAAAAATACATATATACATACATAAACATATATGTTATGATGTGTATATTCGATTAAAGATCAAATTAAATATACTATATGTATACATACATATATATGTTACACAGATACGTATGTGTCTATGTGTACATGTGTAGGGACTACCAATGGCTCTAACAGAAATCCGAATGGAAATTAGACAATACATAAAACTGAAAAAGAACATATACAACAAAAGTTAGAAGATATAACTAAGGTAGTATTTAGAAACCTTAAGTACTTACATTAGAACCAAAGAAGCTCTGAAAAGTACATGAGATAAGCTCACCACTTTTAAGATGTTGAGGAAAAAGACCCAGGAAAAATAGAAAAATATATTTTAAAAGTTAATAAAATAGAAAACAAACATATAGAGAGGGTCACCAAAGCTAAGTAGTGGTATTTTGAAAAAAAGTATAAATAGAAAACTTCTGTCAAGATTGATCAAGAAGATAGAAGGCACAATTAAACAATTTTAGAAGTGTGGTTTCTTATATATTGAAATTAAGATTTTTTTAATATCTATCATTAATCAGAGAATGTTCTCCATGGTATACTAATTTTTTGAAATTTGTTGTGGTTTGCCTTATGGCCTAGTACATGGTAGTTTGTTTTTTTTTTAAAGATTCCCTAATTCCTTAACAAGTACATGTGATTTACATTTTTTTTTAAAAATGTAGTGTCCTTTAAATGAAGTTTACATTATGTTTGTGAATATTATTGGTTAAATCTTCCATAATGCCTACTGATTTATTGTCTACTTGATCAAACAATATTAGATATATAAAAGAGGAAGGACTACAGAGTAACAATGCTACAGATGTAATATAGATAGGTGAGGATATCATAAACCAAAGTTATCCCAAATAAATTTGAAGATTTAAACAAAATTGATGAATTCCTAGAAAAATCAGCTTCTCAAGAAAAAAAGAGAAAACCTGAGTGGTTCTGTAGCCATAAGGAAACTGAGTCAGTGACTAAAAATCTTCCCACCAAAGAAACCAGATGGTTTTTCAAAAAGCTCCAAGTCTTACAATTTTACACTCTTTAGAGAAAAGATAAAGTGGAGACTTCTTACATCAGTTTATCGGTCTTACAAACTTCACCTAAATCAGAGAATGGTGTGAAAAAGCAACATGATGTACCAATTTCATTCATAAACAGGATTTACAAAATCCTAATATTAGCTAATTGAATCCAGCAATATATAACAAGGTAACATCAAGACCAAGTTGCGCTTTCCCCAGGAACTCAAGGTTGGCCTAATATGAGAAATTAATTTATCATATTAAAATAAAAGAGAAAAACTGTATGATTATCTTAGTAGATATAGAAAAAGTATGAGACAATCAACACCCTTTAATGATTAATAAGAGATAAATCTCTTAGCAATTAGGAATAGAAAGGAATTTTTTAACCTGATAAAAAGTATTAACAAAAGACAAACTTTACATTTAATGGTTAAATATTAAAAATGTTCTTTTCAGGTCATGACAAGACAAAAGAAAGAAAACTGTAATTATTCCCAGTTGATATGATTGCCCACATAAAAACAAATATATCACAGATAAATTTTGAGAATTAATCTGCTAATCCAATTTGCTGGATTCAAAATGATACAAAATTCAGTTGCATTTCTATATAGCATGAATTACTAAAAAATGTAACTAAGGATAAAAAGACTTATCTTTGCAGCAAAATAATAAAGTGAACAGGATTAAATATTATAAAAGACATACAAACCCTTTATGGAAAAATGATAAAATCTTATAAAATGACTTCAATAAGCGGCTTCAAAAATGGGACATAACTATGTCCCATTGGTCTGAGACAATGTTCATGGCAATGAAAATGGATTATGTGGGCCATATGCTTCCAGGTAAATGGGATATGATTATATTTTTCTGTGGAATTTAAGAATATTCAAATGGGCTTAATATACCAATATTACTTTAAGATGTCATTATGGAACAAGACATAGTTTATTATTATAATAATAATATAACATTATATATTATAATTATATAATATAATATAACAATATGATAATTATAATATTATTATAATTATTACTAGTATATTAAAAAGATTGAGATGAAAACTTCATGACAAAAGAACTTTTTTAGTTTTTTAGTAACAAAAAATAAGTAATGCTACCATAAAATGTAGTTATAAAGGAGACAATGCTTCTAAACCTTTTAGAGAGATGGTGCATTTATTAGAGTATTAAGTGCACTAAAACCAGGAACTTAAGGCCTGGGATGGAACATTTATGTGGATGTCTAGGTACTTTGAACCCCATGATTATCTGTGTTAGGCAGGAAACTAGGCATGAGTGATAGGAGGATGGACCTTAGCCATCCTCACATCCCCAGCAGAGGACTATCTGGGGATCACCTCACTCCACCCATCTGGCAGTTGGTTTGCAGTTACAACATCTCAGTGGGGGAAGGATTAAGTTTGCTGTGCTTATTGCACTTGTGCAGAAAGTAGCCTCTGGTCCTTATTTAATCTATGCCTCTAGAATAGCAGAATATGGAGTAGGGTGTGAAAGGTTCACAGAGGTGACATGTTAGATGGATTTGTTAAAGGAGGACATGTTAAATGAGGCCAGAGAACACACCAGCCAACTCCGCTCTTTGGCATGGCCAGAGGATACTCCCTTCTTTAAGACTACAAGGAATGAACTAGTGAGGCACTAGTATCATTACTAAGCTCAGTGGTGGCTGTCCTTTGTAGGCCAGGACTGAAGGTAGGAGAAAGGCTGCTATGATACTGGGGTCCCATGTTTCAGTGGGGATGAGAGAATCTGGGAGAGCAGAGGCCAGATGGCAGCACTTAACCATCAGAAGCAAAGTAGGTGTAATTACTAGAATGGGTAGGAAGTCCAGAATGGCAGCAAGCAAGATCTGTAGAGATCCGTGGTGATGGCTGGTAAGCCACGGAATTTCTAGGGGCAAAACAGATGAGCAGTCAGCAAAAATGCTGATGAATTTACATATCTAAAAATGACAAAGGGCAAATGAATCAAAGCCTGATAGCAGCCACAGTGGAAAATCATGATTCCTTGCCCAGTTCTTAGCTCCAAAGCCCATTTCTTGAAGGAGAGGCAAGGAGCCCTTAAGAATAGGCCCCACAACACCTAACAAGTATTCATAATAGGGATTCCCCAATCCTTCTCCAAGAGGACCTATAACCATTAACTGGGGAACTACACATAGAGGACATGGGACTATCCTCTTCTTTCCAAGTCAATAGGACACAGGCTCTCAGCTGACACCAACACCAGTGGATTCAAAGTGCCGTCATGGCCCGCCATGAGAGTGAAAGCAAATGGAGAACCAGTGATCAATGGAAACTTGGCTCAAGTCTATCCTATAGTACAGGGTCTATAGGATCACTTCGTGATTATTTTCCTGGTACGTAACAGGGATTGCAGCTGGCAAAACCTTCACAGTGATTCCCTGCCTGTGGAGTAAGAGCCAATGTGGTAGAAAAGCCAAATGGAAGCTCATGAAACTGCTTACTGGCTCCTTGGCCCCTGGGCCAGATAAATAAGAGTAAATCATTCTGATTGAATGGAATGGAAGGTGCTAACCCAAACTATTTAAAAGATGCATAGCCCTGCTTAATTCTCCAGTGTGGCTTAAAAAAAAAAAAACAAACCAAGATAGATCATGACAAATGATGGGGGATTACTGAAAACTTAATTAAGGAATAGGCTCATTTATAACCATTGTGCAGATGAGAGCTTTACTAGCTGGACACAGCTTCTCGTTCTTGGTAGGTAGTTACTCATCTGGCCAATGTGTTGTGTTTTTTTAAATCCCCATCAGAAAAGAATATTAGAAGCAGTTTGCATTCATGTCAGCAAGGGACATTCGGTTTTACACCAGGACTCTCCCATGTTTGTAGCAAATAGAGTAAAAAGGGGTCTTGTTGATCTATAATATCGGGTGAGCAGGGAGGGGCAAATGTCCAGGATGCCTTCCTAGGACACATGAGCAGCAGAAAGTGGAAGATAAATTCACAAGGATTTAAAGGCTTGTTACTTTGGTGGAAGTTTTTTTTTTTTTTTTAAGATTTTTTTTTTTAATTTATTTGACAGAGAGAGATCACAAGTAGAGAGACACACACAGAGAGAGAGAGAGAGAGAGAGAGAGAGAGAGAGGAAGGAGGAAGCAAACTCCCTGCCTAGCAGAGAGCCCGATGCAGGACTCGATCCCAGGACCCTGAGATCATGACCTGAGCTGAAGGCAGAGGCTTAACCCACTGAGCCACCCAGGCAGCCCTGCTTTGGTGAAGTTTTTAAAGACTGGTGGTCTGGGTCACTCTGAGATATTCTCTTCAAGGTAAAGGACAAGTTATTGTACCTTACTCATTCTACCTCTGAAAGAAGGGGTGTAGTATTTTATAAGTCTCTCGCTTTGGGAGATAGATGTAGCACACTTGGGGATACTGTTCTGATCCATTTAATGGGTGACTTGGAAAGCTACCAGTTTTGGGTGAAGCTCAGATAAAGAGAGAGCTCTGCTGAAGTTTTGGTGTATGATACCAGAGGCCTGCTTCTTGGGCCATATACCTGCCCAGATCCCAGGATGCGACAGGGAGGTACTTAGAGCATGGAAGAATTCTTTTGGAGTCTTAGCAAAGCCACAACAGAAACCTCTCAGTGTGATCACTGGTGTCTGCAGCAGAGAACC